AGCACGCTCAAAAGCTACATCATTGATGGTGCATGAAAGTACGAAGCTTCCAGGATCGTTTTTCTTTTCAGGGATTTGGCTTTGCAGGATAGAACTACATTCATGGGTTATCATCATAACGCCTTCTTCAAGAGTTAAAGAATTTGTTAGAATACCCTTCATGTATTTTCTTAAAGCGGGAATCATAGCACAAGCTTCTACGAAAGGTAATTTCACATTTAATTGATCGATCAACTCTTTCAGCTTAGCTTTTTCTTTCTCTTTCTTAGGGGCTCTTAAGGCTCTAGGATATGGAGGTTTAGGTTTGTAGACACGAGTTGGTGGAGGAGGAATTGGGTCTTCTCCGAGGATTTCCTGGGATGAATCTTCTCTTACTTGTTCTCCATCCTTCTCTCCTACCATTTCTTTTTCAACATCTTCATTCGTGATTCTTTCTTTTTCTTTCTCCTTTTCCTTACCCTTTTCCTCATCTTCGGGATCTTTAGGAAATTCAGGCTCTTTGTAAGCTAATCCACTCCTAAGTGTGATAGCTTTCACATCATCGGAGGGATCTGCTTCTCTTGAGCTTTCGAAAGAATTTTCACTTGGCTCCTCTTCAGATTTTTCTAAGTTTTTAGAATTAGTTTTGGCCATTATGCTAAGGAGGGTGGATAATCTTTCATCGAAATCCTTCTGCATCTCTTTTAGTTCAGATCTAAGATCACTAATCTCTTTAGACATAGATTTTTCAAGCTCTAAATTCTTTTTGTTTAGGTTTTCAGCTTCAGAAGAGGGAAAACTTGGATATGGAACAAGATTAGATTGAATAGCCGAGATTGGTTCGGAAGGTGGTGTCCAGGTAAGTTCAGAAGACAATTTCCCGCGGTCAGGTGGCTCACGACCGCGGTGAAACACGTCTTGGCCGCGGTCAGAACCAGCACGATCGCGGTGAAAGCTTGCTTGGCCGCGGTCCGGACGAATGGACCCGCGGTGATCAGAAACGAATGGAAAATCTTGAATTTGATAGACTTCTGCAGTGTTAACCATCCCTTGATCATAAGAATCCATTGGGTTGTCCCAACCATCAAAGTTACACGTATTGTGTACCCTCTTTGGTTGTTGCAATCCAAGATGACTCATTATGTGACGGAGACACTTTATAACTTCCAAAATTTCTTCTTTCTTCTCAGGAGGTGCAGAATTACCAAAGGTTATTTGATTTCGGATGCTGTTTCCTAAATTTTTAATGAAAACGTGAGCATCTTCTACAGATCTACTTGTGAAATCTCCATTACTTGCTATATCAAAAGAGTGTCGCAACTCTGGAGTTATACCGCGATAGAAGATACTTAGCAGGTATTCCTCGCCATATCCATGGTGTGGACAATCTCTTTGGTATTCCCTAAATCTTTCCCAAGTATCTAAAAGATCTTCATCTTCTTTTTGTTTAAAAGTTCTTATCTTCTTTCTTAAGAGATTTGAAAGGTTTCTATTGTAAAAACGATTTAGGAAAGCAGTTCTACACGCTGCCCACGTTTTTAGTGAAGCAGGTGGCAAAGATTTTAGCCATTTGCTGGCCTTATCTCTAAGAGAGAATGGGAAAAGACTACACTTGTGGTAATCCCCATTTGCTGTAATGGTTGCACATAATTCTTCGAACGTCTCGATATGGTCAATCGGGTTTTCGAATGAATAACCAGAGAATTGATTTTGTTGAACTAAATGGATATGGGGTACCTTAATTTCGGTTTTGCCATCCTCAGGTAAGGCTGGTTGAATAGCTCTTCGATCTCCCAAGAATTTCTCGAGTGAATCGAAACTTCCAATCAGTTCATCATCATCTTTGTGTTTGACCGATCCGATTAGCTCATTGTCATCATAAATCGGTTCTTCAAACTCATCATCAGTCAGGTCATCATCGCTTGGATCACCATCCACACGATTTGGTGGATCACCAAGAGTTCCGGGAACATGTTCCCGGTCTCTCATCTCAGAGAAACCTGAAAAATTCAAAAGAAAAAGTAAAAGTGAACAAGTGTTCTAATGGATTTAAGCTGGGATTCGCAACGAAACAAATTTAAGTCCCCGGCAACGGCGCCAAAAACTTGATGCGGGTTTGTAAATGGGGTTGGTTGTTTTCGTTTTACTAAGCTTCAAGTTTTAAATTTATAACCCCTAAATGTCTGCAAGTGCACAGATGTGCACTGTAGTACTTAGGGTATCGATCCACAGAGACTTAGTTGTTTCAGTACGAATTCACTGCAACGCTTAAATCAGATTAGAACTAAAAGGGTTTTGGTTTTGGTTTTGGTTTTGGGTTTTGGTTGTCACTAAATCTAAACTAGAAAGCAATTAAAACTAAAAAGCAATTGACAAAAACGAAAGCAAGTAAAGCAAGTAGTAAGCGATTTAAACAAGAGGCGAATTGGAGCAAGTAAAAGCGAATGAAAAGCAGATAAATAGCGATTAAAAAGCAGATGAAATTGAAGGTTGTAAGCAATAAAAGACAAACGTTGGGGCTCAAGGGGTTTCGCAGGGGTTCATGGACTAAGCTATGTCGATTTTTAAACATATGATAAAGGTAATCAACTACGTATGTTCTAGAACTCGAGGCACGAAAGTATGAATAGCCTACTTTCGGAGCACTAAACAACTATCTCTCGCAACCCTAATCAGTAGGTTTCCACTCTAATTCTGGAAGGGAGAAGATGCAATAGCAGGACAAGACTCATCAATATTCACAACTCAACTACAGGTAGGTTTCCACTCCTATAGAAGAATTGCTCGTTTCACCCTAGTTCAGAAAATCAATGAAATCTTTCGCAACATATCATATCAGATCGGCTTCTAAGTGGCCAGCAAAGAATCACGCAGTAAGATTAAAGGCAAACGAAGAACATCTAGAAGATTATAAATCCTAAATCTATCGATTCATAAGATTATAACTACTCAAACATATTGTAAATAATCATCACAGAGTATTGAAAGTTGCAGGAAATTAAAGAAAAGAGGGAAGAAAAACGAAGAACGGAGGCGACGACGGAGGCGCGATGATGCTCTCCAGCGGCGGCTCCTACTCCTTAAAACGGCGGCCTCCTCTTTAGGGTTCCACACGAACTCTCTCTCTCTCTCCTTTGTCTATTAGTTTCGGTCTCTCCCCTTTAGAATGACCTAAAGAGGGTATTTATAGCTTTTGGGGTGGTTCTGGACACTTAGGACTTCAAAAATAACGAAAGAAATTGATCTGGGTTTTAATTAAGTCGTCAGGAAAGTGAACGACCAAAGTCCGCGGTCGCGGTGGCTCTACCCGCGGGAAAATGGGTGTTGGCCGCGGTCCCGGCACATGCTCTCTTCCGGAACTGCATTTTCTGTCATTCTTGCATCGGGAGTATCTGAAGATCTAACCGTTGGATTATTTCTAAACCAAGTCCATTAGAAAGCTGATTGGATCCTCTATGTTGTCTCAAATTTTGGGGGTGATCAGACGGTGAGAAAGTCTTCATCGCTTGTCATACTTCTGACGGTCTGCATTTATCCAAAATTGCTCATTTGTTCCAAATTGCATATTTTTTGCCCAAGTTTCCTGTAAAGTCTTTTGAAACTCTAAAACATTGAAAACACTTTAAAAACCATTGAAAACAGAGTTAAAAAACCTGCATAAAACATAATTATGATCCATAAAAGTGGTCAAAATACGGTGTTATCAGTTTGTCGAAGCTTCATCGAAGTCAATCAAAGTCGCAAACTTTCCTTTCAGAAAACAAAATCAAACAAGCAAAATGAGAGATTATGCGACATAAAACCCAAAATAGGTATCGGTAGAAAGAAGAAGAAGATCAAGACCGAGTTGAAGATGACGACGATGAATCGGTGTTGACATTATTGCGATGATGTTTTCGAAAGAGGATAACGGCGACAGAGAGAATGCAGCGCCGTTTTAGAGAGAGATCAAAGTGGAGATTTTCTGGATTAGGGTAAAATTTTCATTTATATAATAGGTTGAAAATATTCGGTTATATCCGGTTATGTTAATTAAATTCTGGTCTATGTACATTTTATTTTAATTTCGATTATGGTTTGAGCAGACTTCATAAAGTAGTCTGTAACCCTAAATTAAAATTATTCAGTTATGATGTTTATTTTTCTTGGTCTAATTTGATTTAGTTATATTAAATTTTAATTTATATACATTATAATTATTTATATTTGATTTATAGAAACAAAATTTAAATCAAATTATTTTTGTATAATTTTTAAAATAAAATATAATATTTAATAATATAGCAAGACTTCTTTATAAGTCTGCAGATTTTACTATTATTTGCAGACTTCTTGGGGTTAAAATCGTAATTGAGTTCTCCGTTTTTTTGTTTGCTCATGTACGAGAGAATAGTAATTTCTCTGACCTATTTTTGTATTAGGGATATATTTTTGCATTTGGACTCAAATTCTGGTCTATTTTTAGCAATTCCCCCTTTTAATCTTGATCAATTTGCATATTAATAATAATAATTTATGCAATTCTAAATTACCGATATGGATCCTATATCCCAATATTCAAACAAACCTCAATCCTAACATTACTCGAATGCCCAAATTTACAAAATTTAATTAACTAATAAATAATAATTTAATTATATTAGTAAATGAAAAAATATATATTTTAATATTTGATGTAGTGAATAGTATAGTTAAAAATTTAATGTTTTATGTAGATATAGTGAATAGTGTTATCAAATTTGGTGCAATACTATTCACAAAACAACAAATTTGATATTTTGGTGTTTTATTGGAGATGCCTTAAGAACTATAAAACGAATAGAACAAATATCATCGATTGTAGTTGTTCATCATCGCTAGCGTTGATAGTTGGAACCGGTAACTAATTTTGGTAACATTTGGAAAATAGGAACAAATTACATTATGAGTTTCACAAAACACGAGCTAAAATTGTGTCTAGATCCAAAATGATCATATTGCTAACTTGCGCTATTCATTGCATCACCTTTTTCTACCTCTACGATTTGTATACTTATATGTGATTGTATAAAAGGAAACGCCTTAAACGCGTATGCGACTCGCGTTGTTATAGCTTTTACCCACATAACGATAGTAATTATTATTGCTCTGAGTTTGACTGTTACTCCGTTTCAAGCTTTTACCGCGTAGTAAATGCGATAGAGCCCACCACAACCACTTTCTCCTCCGTGGCGACGATACAGTAGTCACGTGACCACCAGCATGTGCCTTCGTCTTCTTCACCAGACCTCGAATCTCCGGCGGTTTATAGTTTCTAATCAACGGCCACTTAATTCCTTCGAAAAACGGATGTCTTTTGATATCTTGCGCACCCCTGGCGCATCCTAGCCTTTTCATCGGATCTTTCACTAACAGCTTCTCGATCAAATCCTTCGCTTCTGTTATTCCTTCTTCTGTTAGCTCCAACGGAAACGCCACGTCATCGTTCGATAGTATATTGCGTAGAGTTTGTTCTTTGGTCCCACCTTTAAACGGCGTCGTTCCGTGTAACAACTCGTAGAGAAATATCCCAAACGCCCACCAATCTACTCCGCTTCCGTGTCCGTTTCCGGCGACGATCTCCGGCGCTAGATACTCGTGAGTCCCAACACACGACCGAGAAAACGCCGTCACTGGCTCCGCCGCGAATTCCGCCACGATCTCTTCTCGCTCGTACTCTACCTCCGTGGAGAAGAAGCAACCGCCACGACGACGACTCAACCTCCTCCGATTCGACGAAGGAGACGAAACTCTCCGGAATCTTCGAGATCGGAAAGTTGGAACTACATCGGATTTGAAACAGAGATCGAAATCCGAGAGAATGATGTGTCCATCTTCACGGATTAAGATATTCTCCGGTTTGAGATCTCGATAAACGATTCCGAGAGCGTGAAGGTACTCTAAGGCGACGAGGACTTCGGCGGCGAAGAATCTGACCGGAGAAATCGGTAACCGGTTACCGGGTTGCTTACGGAGCAAGGAATGTAAATCTCCGTTGGGGCAGTAATCGATGAGGAGGCAAGTATAGTGAGAGGCGTCGATTCGTGCGTAGAGTGTAGGTAAGAACGGGTGGTCAAGCAAGGAGAGGATCTCTGCCTCCGTTTGCACGTGTGAAAGCTTCTTCGCCGTGAGAGCATCGCGATCGATTACTTTAAGCGCGAATCCGGTGGGATTAGGGCAATCGCGGAGGTGACAGAGGAAAACTCGGCCGAGATTTCCGGTTCCGAGATGGCGGACGAGTTTAAAGTGGCGGAGATGGAGTCTTCCGTCGGAGGAGAGAGTTGTCGCGGCTCTGATCGCTGTCCAGTGAGGATCGTAGCGACGGTGGTGGAGTGTTGTTGCGGCGGAGGAAGTGGTGGTTGAAGGTGTTGTTGCGGTTGAGAGTCTGTCGTTGAAGCTTAATGTGAGGCTTGAGCGAGCGAGACTCGATCGAGCGCTTGAGGAAGCGAATGTACGGTCTGTTGCGGTGGATGTGAAGCTGAGATCAAGATCCGTGTCAAGGTAATAACCGTCGTCTTCCATTTTTTCCGATGAAGTTCTTTTTTGGGGAGGGGGTTTTATGGGTTAGGAGGTTGAAGGTGGTGATGAGTTATATAAACTATGGAAGATGAGTAATGATTTTTTAATTTGAAAATGTTGGTTTTGAATAAATCAGGGTTGACTTGTGTGAAAGGACAAAGATGGTTTGACCTCACAATGGATCATTTCTTTAGTTTATTGACTGGAATTATCATTAGCACATGCACATGGTTTCGATTAACATGGAAGATATATACGTTTGTAAGTTTCTAAGAGTGACTATGTTTTGCTTAACAAAATCGTGTAGCTCTTACGACCAAATCAAAAATTCTATAACGTAACTACGTAGGTAATAGATTTGATTGGTGACTCTGTATCGTAGCGGTATGAGATTTACCGCAATCACTTTAGTAATTACTATACCGATAAAAAAACGTTGTTCTCAAGCTTTTTGTTATACCAATTACTGAAAAAATTATCATCGCCTTGTGTAAATCAGACTTAATTTATGTAGACAAAGTTTTACAAAAAAAAAATGCTGGTATGTGTTTCATTTAATGTACACACTTCAAACTATATAGTATTATTGTTGATAGTTTTTAATATTTTTGACGTGAAGGATAGACTACAAACGAGAACGTTGGTTTGCAATATTGAGTTGAGATAGTGGTTGATAAAAAAAAAACCTTGGCTTGCAAATCTATTTTTAATAAACACTAACTGCTTGTCGGCTCTAACGTACTCAAGCATATGAAAACGTTTTTTTTTTTTAATGATTGTCAGGAACAACGTAATAATACCTTTTCCTTAGGTTCGTCATTATCCAGGTGATTGGCTAATGTCCAAGGTGATGAATGTTTAACTTTTAAAGTCAGAAATCGTCTCTCAAAATACTAGCCTAGAAAAGACATTAGAGATATGTATATATATTTCATAATAGAGAAGTAGTATATTCTAACATGAAAAATAGTAGTATTAAGAGTTAAATATCAATGTGTTTACAATATTTAAGCTACAACATGCACTTAAATATCAATGTTTTTACTTTATTACAGATGCATTATATACGTTTCAAAGAAGAAAAAAGTGTTTCTTTCAACCTTTTGGCAGTGACAATAAATTCAAGTGCATTAATGCTACATAACCTTGTCTGACCGGATCCATATTAAAAAGAGAGAGAAGTACTACAAATATTACAAGCATCAATGCTGTACATAGTACTATATTTCCAAATTTTTAAAGTATACATATATAACAGCTAGCCATTGACATACTAATGGAGAATATTTTTTTCTTCAAAAGCTTGCTGCAAGCCTGCAATGGATTAAAAAAAAATGGATAGGCGACCGCCCAAAACAAAAGTTTAGCCGACTTTTACATAAAGATTACAATATATGATCGAGGGTCCTAAAATACCCCCTGTTTATGCCTTTCTATAATTAACTAGCTAGAAGTTCTCGATAATAATTTATTTCTACCAAATAAAACTCTTAGTTTTATATTTTACAAAAGTGAGTTATCGCCAAAAACAAAAAGCTAGTTATAGTCCCTACCTCATGAAACGAATTTATATTTTGATTGGAACAAATAGTGTTATTATCATTTTCCTGGTCAAAAGTCAAAACTGATGGGTGATTCGCATGTTTAAAAGAATATGGGAACTAGATCCATGTGATGGGCCAATATTAAGGCCCTTTTACATTAGCGGGACCCACGTTTGATCAAGGTCTTATTTTGTCTGCCCCGTGGTTAGCATAGGACCCATTTTTGTCGCTTTACATATGCTCTCTGGACCCTGGCTTAATTAAATGTAATAGACTGTTAGAGTTCATTATTCTTCAATAATGACAACCCATTAACTGCCTAACTAGATCATCATTTTAAGTTCGTTTAAAAAAATTTACAAAGAGACTCCATTATTTACATTAATTATCACGAGATAAGATTATGACATTTGTGGGCTGCTCGTGATCAAGTTGTTACATTGAAATATGAAACATATATCCAAAACGTTTTACGGTTTACAAATTATTAGGATGATCAAAGTACAGAGCCGACTCTTAATTATTCGTATTTAGCTATCATGAGAATGCACTTTTTTCTTATCAATATAGTTTTATCATTTTTTTTATTTATTTGGTTGATAAAGTTATCATTTATTTTATGGTTAGTTATTTATATAGTTTTGGTTTTATCATAACTAATAAAAACAAAAAGCTAAAACCCAAAAAATAAATAATTGATCTAAGAATAATGATACGACGTCATATGTGATACTGATATGTAAGACTACGATTTTGTATTCTTCTTCAAAATAGTATTGCTAAGAGTCTTATTTTGTAATTTGTCTTCAGAATGTTGATATCATTTTAGTTATTTATGGTTGAGTCGCCAATTTGCTGGTTGATTACTATTTGCGAAAAAGTTGACTTTGTTATGCATAAATAATCTCAATTTATCATCAGATTCAATTAATCCAAATGAATAATTTTGGTGGTTCAATACGCTCTCATAACAAACGTTTTTTAAAACACAAACGCACCTATTTTTATTTTATTTTATAAATAAAAGTAACAACAGCATTATTGTAATTTTCACCCAGTGTACCTACCCAGTTGCTAATACATTACGAACAACGATAAACGCCACCTGATGAAAGAACGATAACGGTTATTTGGTCCTAAACAAAGACATGTGGTCGTTTTGTTTTGGATTCATATGTTAGGCTATATTCATAGTCATAGATATATAAATGAAATTATAGACAAGGTGGGAATATACAGATGCAAGTTGCAAATTACTATATATCTAGAAAACAAAATTTGAAGCGAAGAGATCTTAGGAAAACATGAGGATCTTCCCAAAATATCGTGTTAACCGATAATTGAACACCATAATGACATTTACAACATCATAGTTAATTCAAATGTTAGTTAATGGAATTTAATTAACTAACTACGTCAACTAAACTACAGTTTACTTTCAAATAGCAATACGAAAACACGATATATACGACTTGTTAGTTACAAACATTAAAAGAACACAGGAATTTTGTAACATACTACAGTATCTAACATTTTTATTTGAATTTGGCATGCTAAAGTAAAAATTTCCCAAAAAATAATAGTTCAATGACGACAGTATTGTAACAAATTAATATTATTATAATCAATAGAGGCAAAGAATCCAACCTGGGTTCATTAGGAGAAATTTTATTCGAAGATTGGATGAATATGACCTTTCATGTGATGTGTAGATGCATTTTGTCGCAACTACCTCTAACAGAAAGAGAAAAATACATTTTTCAGCTATGTGTATACATGTCTCTAAGAGAATCAATTAGGTAAGATTAGAATTAAGAACTACGTATAAAAATAATCTCAAACCATATTATTATTTTTAATATGATTTATTAATATTATAGGAATAATCAAATTAAACGGCTAACCAATTAAAAAAACAAAGGTTTATTTCTTTTATTATTATTATTTTATTCTTTTGTGCAAGCCCAAATAGTTTATTTCTTAAACATGAAAGTAACAACTGATCCAAAAGGAAAGCTAGCGTCACAGTTACTTCCACTTCCTCTATTGTTGGAGTGACCCGGAAATGTCCATTTGTTAAACTGCATCTGCTGGATTAAACGCAAACCCGTCTCCTCAGCTATAGTCTTCATGTCCCACTTGTTAAATGGGTATATTGTCTTATGAGTGACATGTATTTCTCCATCTTTGTCTTTCACCATCTCTATCGCATTCTCCATAAATCCTTTCACTACATTTCGGTGTTTCCTGAGAATTGTACATGCATGCAAGCATTGATCAGTATACACCAAAAATAAAAGAAAAGAAGAAAAGAAAATGATGCGGGTAGAGATGAACTTATGTTGGATATCCATATCCTAGAATTTTAGGATTCGAATCACCCATAAATAATGATATTTGTGGTTATCCAAATTTGGATCCATAAAAAATACTTAAGAATAATTATAATAACGAAATAAATGAAAATACTACATCAAAATAAAGTAAAATAACACACATCATATAAAAAATTTCAAAGTGATTTTCTTAAATATTTAAAACATATATCTTATGGATACTTTTAAAAAATATATATATTTCTTTTCTTTTGTGATACTATAAACTACTCTTCTTTTTTATACCATCTAGATATATATTATACATATATCTTATGTAAATTGTATATGAAAGCATATCCGATCCAAATTCGATTATTCTCATGAATTTTAGATAATATCTAGGGCCAATTCCCCATTTTTTAGAGTAGATTAGGTCGAATCTCATATCGATATTCTGATGACCAAAACCTTACCCTGCATGAGGAAAATGAAAGACGATTCTGTCATATTGGTTCAAGCCATCGGCTGAAGTCATAGAATGTATGTTAACACCTCGGACCACGGTGCACCCAAGTTTCTCCAACTCTTCCATGTTCGCGTTTCCGTTGTTGTACTGACGCCCGAGCCCATCTACCATATATTCAAAATTATAACAAAACATTAATCATCGAACGTGATAAGCTATTTGGTTTTTCTTGTGGTGATACGTACAGCTTAAAAAAAAAACAATACAGCATAAAATACTATTGACGACTTTAGATTTAGTTTTACCTCGAATATCAAGAGATGCCACAGTGATGTTGGTGGCTGAAACAAAGGCTTTGGCTAGAGACAAAGAAAATGAAAAATCTCCTTCTCCGATCAGAAGTAGTTTTTGGTTATTGCTATATTGTCTTACTTTGGTAGATTCCTGAACCTCCATTTCATCATCTGAATGTTTTTTCATTTTACTCCATGTCTTTATGTATATATAGACACAATAAACATACTATCACGATTCACGTAAGAAGTCAAATTAAGAGATCTATAGAAATTAGAAACATAAGTCTCTTCGGACTTTGTGTTCATTTATGTACTTCGAAGACCATTTATATTCTATAAACAAAAGAGTAAACTTTTTTTTCGGATGTAGCTAATTACTAATTGGTTCAATACACATGCATCGTGCCAATTAGCGTCAAGACGGTATTAATGCCTTCTCTTGTTTAAAATCAGTACAGTAAAACCTCTATAAATTAATACTCGATAAATTAATAATCACTATAAATTAATAAATTTTGATGGTTCCAAGTCGGGTCAATGTAAAAATCCATCAAATTCGATAAGATAATAAGATAATAATTTTTTTTGAAACCCTTATGTAAATTTATGGTCCCAACAAAAACATAAATTAATAATAATATAAATTTATGCAAATATATGTAAATACAATATTTTTAAAAATAACTAATGTGTTTATTTTTATTTAAAGTTAAAATCTCATTACTTCTCATCTCTCTAATTATTATATCAGTAGCTTTTATTGCTCTTTTACTATATACATTCAATATTTATGATGATTTTTTGATGTGATAATTGATTTTCTTATTTTTAAGTGTTTTTAAAGTATTGTAGTGTTATCTTCAATTTTATCATCAGTAATACTGATAGTAACCATGGTTTTTTTATAAATTTTAAACTTATGAACATGTATATTTTTACATAGACAATCTAATATGGTGTTAAAAACTATATTATTGTGATAGTTATGATTCTTAATCATAATTTATATAATGAGATTTGTTAAAATTTTAAAATATAAAATTATTACAAATATATTTTTTAGAAAATTATATGCGGAAAACAAATTTTCTCTATAAATTAATAATTATTAATTTATAGATAAATTAATATCACGATAAATTAATAAATTATCATGGTCCCAACATTATTAATTTATTGAGGTTTTACGGTAATTTTAATATTTTCTGCCTTCAATAAAAATCCCTTGTAATTTTCAAAATTTAAAACAGTTATTATCTAATTCCTCTAATATGTAGTCTTGCATTTTTTTTAATACTGAATAAATTAATTATGAGAACTATTACAAAGACAATTCTACAACGGATCATTAATGGTACCGCTCTACAGAAATCCTATGATCATGATGAGCGACTCCACTTGTACCATGCTGAAAATTTTCTTATAAACTTACCTCTATTAATCTGCAGAAATTGTGTTATATGGGAATTGAAATCCGAACCTTCTGGTGTAAAAACATTAATGAATATTTAGTCAACCACTACACTAAAAGACTTCCATAATATATAATATATATAGTCTTGTTTTGCAGTGTATTATTATATATTCTGAAAATTTCCGTTTTTAACGAATTAAACAAAAATACCAGAACTGTTAAAATTTACAAAACACCACAAAGTTGTATTAGAGAGTTCCTAATTGTTGGAAGAATTATAAATCATTTACGAATTTTAATATTTTTGAATTTTTAGAATCTAACGAATCATTTATGAATCATGTCAGAAAAATATTTCAACTTGATTTCATTATCAACTCTTCAAATATATTAAAATAATTATTAATTTGTATACCGATAAAAGGACAAAAAAACGATGTATATTATAAGTCTAGTCTCCTGTGCCATAAGTTATCTTCCACTCTGTATAAAAGTGGACATCAAATATAAGTGATTTTGATTTGACAATAAATTTTTGTAATGTTCTTTGAATTAATTTGGGTCGTAATTAAACTAGTTATTTTCTTATGGGATCCAACAGATATTCTAATAAAATAGTTAGAAATCTTCTTGTTGACAGTTTGTGACCGCATCTCTCGTGATCGAATGCAAGTTTGGGGACAATATTGTAGTTTTCTTTTGTGTGGAAAACAAGCTGAAATAAGGGATCACATTTTTTCCATGATCTTATACTTTTACGGTATGGTTTGAAGTTATGAAAACTCTACTCATTAACCTCAGCTGGTTGGAAAATCTAATTTTCCTTTGCACTATTTCAGCCGATGAAGTGAGTTCAATTCTCCGTCGCTTTTCAAGTGTTGTTTTATTACATTTTGCAAAAAATGATCACTCGATTTCACCATCATTTTCATCAACCTCATCATCTTCTCACCTGTCAAATTGAAAGTATGATTTGATCATCACCTCTCTACGTTATCATGAAGACCTGAAGTTTCATGAGTTGATGCAACGGTTCGGTTGTTCGCTTTCCGAGGGCTAAGTTCAATCATCGTTATCCAATGAACATTTTATAAAACTATGTTCTTCTCAATGTCTCCGCCATTAAATACTATAAATCTTTTGATTCTTTTTCATGGTTACTCTTGTAAATATTTAGCATTGATTCATATATATCACATTCAAACAAAAATCTTCTGATTAAAACATCATAGTCGGTGACCTCTTAAGCTCACACCCCACATTTTGGGGGGGGGGGGCAGTCCATTTCATTAAATTAAATTCAACAACTTAAAAATGGGCACATGTAACAACGTTCATTATAATCAAAACATAACAAGAAGCTCCTAATCATCAATTGGCACCCACCCAAAAAGCTTAATTATAATAATATTATAAATAAAACATAACATATGGGTATCAGACTGATACATTGAACTACACCCGTTTTTTTCCTTCATTGACTAAAAACAGTTCTCTCTTAGTTTAAACTTATTAAAAAAACAAAAATTCTCAGCAACCATTTCCCCCGTGAAAATTAAGACAGTCGTTAACCTTTAGCAATTAAAGAAGAAAAAAAAATCAATACAGTTGTTACTTGTTATTGGTTAGTGTTGCATGGTGACCCATTCAAATATTCAATTGAGCTCGACAAAACCTTTTGTCACGATTCCTTTTTTTACCTCTCCTATGCTTCTTCTTCTTCTATACGACACTGTTTTTTATTTGAACATTTTTTTTGGTGAAACGAAATTAGTGGCCCCATTTCTTATTTTGTTTCAAGTCCCTAAAATCTATATATTCATTAATATATGTGTTTCAACAAACAAATTATATATATACTTACTTTAATAGGTGCCTCAAATTTAATTACTTAAACTGATATTGTAGCGATATAAATCTCATTTTAGAAACATCAAATGTTCTTGTCGTCCTTTTAAGACGTAATTAATCTAATCTAGAGCCTGAAAAGCAAACATTTGAGTGTAAAAAAAATTGAACTAAAAAGTTGTATAAACCTATCATAATAGAGTAAACTTTTTCACCATTCTTTTTAATTCAAACTTTAACGTTGGAAAAAAAAACATATGATAACAAAAGAAATATTTACTCTACATATAGTAAACCAAAACTAAAATGTTTTGCACCTTTTTACTTACCATTTAGATCCCTAATGTTTTGGTGTAAAACTTGTTCTGAAGCTTTTGGTGAGAAATAGTAAAATTCAGTTTATGTAAAAACGCATCTTTACTACTATATGAAGTCGCTAACGTTGAAGTGACAAGCGTTTTGAGGCCTAATTATAATGGACATTTAGGGTAAAGCCCATATTTTAATTGGTTTTATTAATAAGCCCATAAATATGGATCAATGTTTGTTTACAGACACGCATTATTAATCCTTTTCTCGTCTCTTGCTCCACTTTCTCGTCTCTTCGCTCGTGTTTGAAATCACCGCATAAACCCTAGCTTTTTGGGTAAGTATGAAATCAACCCCCTTGTGAGAATTTTTTTCTTTCTGAATTTAGACGACGAAAAGATTTCAGTTTGTGTTTCGAAATTCTATGAAATCTTAATGTTTCAAAAAAAACCCAGACTCAATTCAATTTCTGTGCGACGTTTCTTTGTTGAATGAATAGATTCGATTCGAAGTCATGGATCCACAGCCCGAACCAGTTACTTACGTCTGCGGAGGTAAGCTCTATTATCTTCTTCCTCTATAAAATTTCATCGAACATTGAGTTTTTGTTTCGAAAATTGGAACTTTGGAAACTTATCACTGTCTGCTTAACTTTTGTTTTTTTGTTTGGTTTAAAGATCGTAGTTCTGTGGTTTCAAATGCCAAAGTTGCTGTTTTTTCGAATACAAAATTCATAGGAGAAGAGATTTTTGTAAGATATGCCTCTTTTGAGTAGCCTTTATGAGCCCTAATCTTTTAGGCAAATTTCATAATTGGCTTAGTTAGGAGGCATAAAGTAATCTGATCATCAATACTTTTCTGTATTGTTTTGATCTATTTGACTTGGGGTCTTTTGAGGAGGAGCTTTGCTTTTGCTCAAACCAAGCTTCTCCCAAGCAGCCTCAGACATTACATTATACTATTAAACCCAAGAAAATAAAAGAAAAAATGAATTCATAGGAAGTTTTTATGATGGATTGCCCTGTTTTCTATAGTTTGCTTAACTTGTTTGTCTGAGTCATTTTTGGTTTTTTGAAGATTGTGGACAAGAGAACACTTTGAAGTCTGGGGATGTGATCCAATGCCGAGAATGTGGGTACCGTATTCTATACAAGAAGCGCACCCGTAGAGGTGAGACTTACCTCTATTTAGCAAAACAAATCTTTAGTCCTCTTTTCGTGTTGTAATGGTTTTAGGTTTCTTCTACTGCTCTTTGGTCTTATTCTTGTGCGTTTCCACTGATCGCACGATCTCAAATGTGTCTCTGACTAAACACAAATGTGTCTCATAGTTAGGTTTCGAATTTACAAGTGTCTTAACTACATTTAAACACAAATGTTATAGCTTACAGGGATCAGGTTCTCTAATTAATAAAGTTTGTAACTACATCCCGGTCTAGTCTACTCATTTTTGTTGTTTGCAGTGCTAATGTGAATTTGTTTCCGCCTAATTATATGGTTGTTCATTTCATTCTTTTGCAGTTGTTCAATACGAAGCTCGCTAGAACGACAAACCCCTGAAGATGTTTGGAACTCTGGTTTCCTGCTGTTGTTTGTAACATATAATGACTAGAAAATCTGTCTCTGGTTTTGCTTAGTGGCTTGTTTTGGTTACAATGATTGTGACACTGAAATTTCTTTGCCTTTTTGGTAAATGAAGAAAGCATGTATGCTAACGAATTCACATTGGTGGAAGCCATAATTGGCTATATCTCCCGATCTAAATCTAAACCAACCATCTTCCTTCTCACACGCACTTTAACAAACGTCTCGCTCATTTGCCTTCGTACTGCCCGTGTTTCATTGTGTTCTTTGCCATAAATCAGCTTCTGTTGTCGGAAAAGGCAGTATCTGAGCCATATATGATAGATCACTGTGTCAGAGCTCCAAATTTGCTGAATTGTCTATAAGAAGGGATCAATCAAAGAGAGTGATATCAAGAGAAACCACCACAAGGAAACTGGCAAAATGTTTCATAATAAAGCAAACATAGTAATAAATTAGTGGTTTAGCTTTGGCTACAAGTGAAATAAGAAAATAATCGAAGCAAACATTATTAATTAGCATTCATCAAATACTTGCATTAAAAAAAAAAAGAAATACACATTTCAGTGAAATTACAAGTTCTGATCATGATGATATCTAGAGTCTCACATCGAAAAGAAGTGAAGGAAACAGAGCCAAAGTCAACTTGCCGGACACCAAAATCACTTGAGATTCGTTCGTCTATTCGGCAAGTCATCTTTGGCTCAATCTCATTCTCTGCTTTTCCATGCAAGACCCCTCTGATACGACCAGAGACTTTCATCATCATTTTTCTCTACCTCTACTCTTATCTTGTGATCTTGTCATGTCAAAGCCTTTACTCATGATGAATGTATTTATAGGCATCTGTAGTGAGATTTATGTGAATTAATTTCATATTTTATATGCAATTATCATTCACATAAGTGTCTTATCCATGCATTGCATGGTTTCAGTGCATGCAAGCCAAAAAATAAAGAAATAAAGAGAGGGAATTTTGACCACAACCGTATATTGAAGAATATAATTACTTCAAAAGATTGGCTGACTTTATATAATCAAAATATTCGAATTCCAAATTTATGTGAATAATTAATATTCGTACCTCACTACTCCAAAGGCATCGTATATCGCCTGCGACATAAAGATCCACGTCTTGTATTTATCTCAGGATTTGATTCTTAGTCCTCTTGTGGTTGATCGACAAAAAAAAAAGTTATATCAGTCGTTCCACAAACCTTGAAAGGGTTTTTAAAAATATATATGATTTTTTAACAACTGCCACTAATTTTAGTTGGTGTGGATAAAATGGAATATAAATAGAACATTCGAGATTGTCTTTTTAAGAAGAGAACATATTATTTGCCATTTGGAGACTCATCAATCATCATCATATTGTCAAAAGAACACTAATATATATACTGATATGCGTGTGACAGAAAGCTGGCAATTGACTTCTTTTTTCACCACTAGTCAGTCACTAGAATTTCTATTTGTGTTAGCTTGGATAAACCGGTTTTCATGCTATATATGAAATTTACGCAAATCACTATGAAATCAACAATCTTGCTAAAAGTTAAGATACAATTATATAAATTAGTTTATTTGATCAAGCCAATAAAAATATAGGATATGTACTCCATCATTTACAGAAACTATAGAATTTGTAATTAGTAGGTCTAATATTTTACAAACAATGGGATATACATAAACGTGTTTTCTTATTGGTTTTGGAGAAACGAATTTGGTTATTTCAGATTGTATCAGTGTATGAAAGCAATCCAAACCCGTTTTGAGATTTTGTTATATTACTTATTAATTAACGACATGTTTGTTGAAAAATAGATAAGCAAATTACAGCAATGAAATTAATTTTGATGATAAAAAAAAACCTTATAAAAAAAACTAGAATCAAGGACTAGATTTGCTACCAATTTTCATCAAATTGATTGAATAAAAATTATCTTTATCGCTTTAATTAGCTTATCTATTTCCATCAACGAACTTGTCTTTAATAACTAACATTACAAAACGAGTTTGAGTTGCTTTCACACAGTGTATACAATCTAAAATAACCAAATTCATTTCTCCAAAACTAAGACAAAAAAAATATTTATGTATATCCCATTGTTTGTATTAATTTAGACCTAGTAATTGCAAATTCTTTACCTTCTGTAAATGGGCTATAAACAACAAAAAAAAATTAAACTTCATTTACATTCTTATACATTCAACATCGTGATGGAGAATATAGCTTACAATATCGGCTTTGATCAAATAACCTAATTTACATTTGATCTTAATGTTTGGCCAGATTATTAATTTGATAGTGATTTATGTAAATATCAATGCATAAAAATTGGTTTACCTCAACTTATCAATTATGTGCTATAACACAAATAGAAATTCATTTGTTGTAAAAACAAGTTTATTAATATTTGTATCAAGGGTGTGTTTTGATGCGTTGAGTTTATAAAATTTTAGAGTCAATTTTGTCACAGATGTATTGGTTTATTTGATTTTGTAAATCAAAATATGAAAAATGATCAAATATTGATGCCCAAAATTTGTGCACAAAATTTTGGCACAACCATATTTTGTTATTGCTTCTAACCTTAAATCTTAAAAACAGCTCTAATCTCAGCTTATAAATACCATCCCGCTTCTAGCATTCTCAATGACAACATTGAAAAGTATGATTTATTTTACGAGTGGAAATGTAATCAAGTATATGATCGTTTGTTCTTCTTCTTCATTTGTTGAAACCCAATTGTATTCATCATTTGTATTCAAATCTTTTTCCATCAGTATTAAACTCATTATAAAGTACGATAAAAATTCACTATAAACTCATTATAAAGTAAGAAAATATTATTATTTATTTATCAAGTTCATAGTGCCGCTTTCGATTAGCTTTCATGACTTTGGTATCTGAATTTCATCTCACAAGAATCTTTGTATTCTAGCTGTTGTTCACACCAACACTATTAACACGAGAGATGTCAAAATGCAAATGTTATGTCTGAGACAAATAGATACAACTCGATCAGACCAAAAATATAATCAAATTCTTTGAAACATTAAAAATACTATTTTGTTTTGTCAACTGCTTCTTAGTTATTAGACACTCACTTACGACTTAAAATTTTATGAAATTAGTTTAAATTTCCGGTAGTTACCTGTGATCACAGATTACAAATAATTTAGTTTCTATCACATTTTACAAAATATTTTAACATCTATCATCTAACAAACTATCATTGGGTTTATTTCAAAATTAAAAATAATTGGTTTACTAAAAATATATTTTGAAATTTTATTCTCTACGAAACCGTCCATTATTTCTCAAAAGAAAATAAAAAAAAACATTTGCAAAATGAAAAAAAAAACAGTAAGAAAAAAAAAGGTTTTTTTTTTTCTGTTGCATTCATTCAACACCAAATATCTGTCTGAGCTTAAGGACTTGTTGATAAACTTTCTCAGATTCAGGCAATGAAGCAGCAACACTGTTTCGTTCAACACATCTCTTTCCCCAAGCCACGATCTTTGGACACTCAGCTTCGACGGAGAAGTCACCACATTTCTCCAGTGCGTAGAACCAACTGTAGAATGGGACAAGAGTTATGTCTACATAACCAAATGTCTCTCCTCCAAAGTAAGTCTTGTCTCCAAGCTCAGCTTCAAGAACCTTCAAGCTCTCAAGAAACTCTTTCTTGCCTTTCTCTTGTTCTTCTCCTTTCTTGTTTCCCCAAATATTTTTTCCTCCTTCAAACGATATCTACATTTTGTTGCAATAATGTATGATCAAATCAAGTGGACATAGAAATCAAACCGGATTAAACTGAATCAGTATTGTCATAATAACCAAACGGTTAGGACGGGCTGAGAGTCATAATACAGTATTGAAGTTTTAGTGCAACTGAACCAAATAGCACCAAAAAATCCGAAACTCGGTATAATTCATACTTGGAAACCTAACCAAACAGTACCACACATTTTGGTTTTATTTCGGTAGTATTTCTCAAAACTAAAACTTGTTAAAATTTTCACATTTTTATTGTTGGAAAAAGAGAGTTACTAATAATTACCAAATTTGATTTTTTTTTTATAATGTTTTTGTTATTCTTCACCTAAAATGCTATTAAAAAAACAGTGAAGAGAACCCAACCAACCGAGTTTTCTTTTATATTCGGTTACATCTCTCAAAAGTCAAAACCAAACATTAAAACCGAACCAGAAACCCAAATACCTAAACACTTAAAAGTCAGTCAAAATCAAACAAACACAAGCGAGTAGCACAAAACAGAGGAATATGTTGCGGTCAATTACCGTTTTGTCAGCGAAATCAGCCCAGAACCTTGCAGTGGCTCGAGACTGAGGATCAGAGGGCAAGAAAGAGGCAGCATCGGTCCACGTCTCGTCGATATACTGAACCTGAACGAGAGATTCAGAGATGGGTATATCACCGTGGATCAGAACAGGTACTTTCTTGTGAACAGGGTTTGATTTCAGCAACAGCTCACTCTTGTTCCACAGATCTTCCTGTTGAACCTCGAACTCAACTCCTTTCTCTCTCAACGCAATCTTCGTCCTCATTCCATAAGGACTTGCCCAGAAATCCAAAACCACAACTTTGCCATTTTCTTTCCCCATTGTTATTTCTCCCTGACACAGAGCACTAGCCACAACCATGTATATATATATACACTCATATATGAAATTAAGAAATGGATAATGGTGAAGACGTGGGAAAGAGATTGGAGTAAACAAATTTTAAGAATGAGCTGTCTAGATGATCGTGGAATCAACTCAAAGTTTATACCTTTTTGTTCTTCTGTGTATTACATGTTATTACAGTTGACATACAATGATTTATGACGAATTAGTACAATGAAATTTTGTATAAAATATGAACAATCCTTGTTCCACAGACTCTCAATCTCTTGTTCTCTCCAATGCCTCAAGTTTCAGAGCAGCACTACAGGAAAAAAAAGCACAAAAACAGGAATTTCCAGATGAGAAAACTCATACCAAGACAAACAAAAGGCTTTCTGTGATCAAATGAAATGAAGCTATAGGGAATTCTTTGAAAATTTGAACTTTAGGGATAATAATAATAATAATAACAAAACCTGTTGAGGCAATATCGTTTTCCGGTAGGGCGTGGACCATCATCAAATACATGGCCAAGATGGGCGTTACAAACAGCACAAAGAACTTCTTGTCTAGGCATGAAGATGATAGAGAGGTCTAGCTTTGTCTTCACATTGTTTCCAATAGGTTTGTAATACGATGGCCACCCGGTCCCGCTCTCAAACTTTGTTGATGAGCTGCAAAATATATTATCACTTTGATATGTTAACAATCATTCATCATTTGGTACGAGTTTGTAGAAAAATTAGATTCCTTAGTTCAACTTCAACAAGTACAATTTCACAATCCCACAAATAGCAGCTTACTCAAATAGAGGCGTGTCGCAACATACGCATTTGTACACTCCTGGGGTCTTTGTGTTCCAGTACTCCCTGATTAAGTGAAAAGAAGAACAAACACTCATTGCAATGTATGAAGAATAGAATGTGACTCCAGGACAAATATAATGTCATGGTGAGAATGTTCAAAAGAGCAAACTCATCCATACCCAGTGAAAGCTCTCTCTGTTCCTTTCTGTCTGGTGATGTAATACTGTTCTGGTGTAAGCCGTTTCTTCCATTCATCTTCACTTAGTGAAGCAAAGTCACTCTTCTCAGCTTCTGCACATCATAGAATCTCTCAAATCTTAGGGGCTCGCTTACTAATTTGATCTAAAGAGAGTCACACTGTTCTTAACATACACTTGAAAATGAAAGCAACACTCTTAACATCAGACAATACATATGCAAAAGCATGGATTGATTAAAAGATTCTGGTCTCTTCAACCAAATTGAGTGATCCGACGAAACTTCCAAACATCAAAAATCAAAACTTAACCTTTGGACAAAGCAAAATCAATTTGTGGGGAAAAATCGTTACTTTCAGCAAATAGAGTTAACCTAAACACAGAACAAATATTAAACCATATTTCGCTAATCACAGTAGATAATTGGGTCGACATGAGAATTGGGATTTATGGGGACATCATCGGATATAAGTAATAAAAGACGAAAGAAGAGAACCTTGGACGTTGTCCGATTTCTGAGAAGAATTAGAAGAACCCATGGAACAACGAACAGAGAGATTCAAGTTTCTGGGTTTTGAAAGAGAGCGACAAGCGAATACGGAGATACTCGGCTTGGAGACGGATTCGAGCCTTGCTCTCGCTGAGACGAAGCTTGATTGTATGGTTAAGCCACTTGAAGAAGCCATTTTCCTCCGAATTTTGGGTTTCAATAAGCAAATTTGAAATGTTCTTTCTATGACATCCACCTACGGAGAAAGGAGAACACGTGGCGCATCCAGGATGCGAGATGAGATCTGGAACTCTAGCTGCCACGTCAACGCTATTGGAGCCAAATCGACGCCAATATAGAGGACTTTTACAAGGTAACCATTTTTGGGCTTTTTAGTATAGTTTTTTTTGGGTCTAAATGTTAAGAAACTTGAATTTTGATTTAGCATAGTGGCTTAACCATACAAATCAAGAGAAACATGAATTTAGATTTTTGATTTTTTGTTTTCTGAGTAATTATTATTATATGGATTTTTTTGTTTGCTGCCTATAAGAGAAGTTGGAAACTAATCGAATCTTTTCCATTTTTTATCTTCATTTCTTTGGTACATTTTCAATTAAAAATATGACGTATAAGAATATCAACGCGTGGAAAGAAAAATAATATATAGTCAACACTCCTATATAATAATTAACATTTGAACATCTAAAGTTATTTATAAAAAAAGTAAACCAGTGCGAAGTGAGTGGTAGCACAATTAAATTTCACATACAAATTTCTTCTACAAGTAGTACCCTAAAATAAAATGATCGTAAAATGTGAATATCTTTTCTGGTAAAGAGGTAAATAAAATACATATTTTCTGGCAAAGAAGAAAAATAAATAAAATATCCCAGAAATCAACTAAAAAAAATTGAATTTCCAGTTAGAACCTGGGCCTTCCCTATATTGATTTTCTCGTGCTTTGAAAAAAGAAAAAAGGGATGGATAATAGAAAGAAGGATTTTCTTTGCAAATGGTTATAATATGACGTGTGTTACGTTGCCTATGTCGCCGGGTTATTTGCCGGTGGTTGTTGGATTTTGAGAAACCAACGTTTTGGCTTCCCCGTCCTTTTTCTTATGGTTGTTATACGCAGCTACACCGGAAATTGCTGCGAGAGTGAAACAGTTTCACAATTATCATAATAAGTGATTAGTCTTTAATCTGATTAATGCTAAATTTTGATTCTAGTGGAAATAGGAGAAGATGATCTTATTACCTATGGCATAACCAAATAGATTGATGACTGTGAGTTTTGTCTCGGCAAAGAGAAGAGCTGAGACCAAAACGACGACCCAATCTTTAACCACACCAGCAACTCGGATAGTGAGAGCACTTGTTTGAGATATCACAAGAAATACCGATAAATTGAGAGCAAATGTACATAGCGAATTTAGAGTCAACACAAGAACATTAAAGTTCCATGTGTTATTGTTAGCATCCATCTTCGACTTCTCTAGAAAAATCCATGGTATGAACAAGCAAATCGCGCTGCAATACATTTTTAGTTTGTTAAGTCTAGTGTATATTAGGAACTTTTTATTATTAGAAACTTTTCGTCACTCTTCATAGAAAACTCTAAAACCCTAATAGTAAACATTAAACCAAAAGAGGGATTAATATAATTTGAAAAAAGGTTTCCGTTTTCACATACGGCATACGTTTTAAAAAGTGGGGTTTATACATACTTTTTAAACTTGGAATTATTATAAAAAAATTTAGAAAGGAAAGAGAAATATAAAGAGATATATTAGGGTTTTTTTTTTTAATTTCACAATACGTAACGTACCTGCATGGGCTCATGTAGTACATAAGAGAGATTGGATTTAATTTGATGCCTTTCCTCTTAACAAGAATTTCCATTAAGATTAGCCTCAAGGCTTCTGCAACAATGCCACCCATTTGGTAAACAACTCCAATCCAACTGATATTTAACTCTCCATAAGATGCGGTCAAAACGCCACAACTTATAACTGACATTATCAAAAGCATATTGCAGCTCATTATTTCAAGCCCAACAGAGACTCCAAGTATAAACACAGCAACGGGCACTGCAATATACAATTATCTCAAGATCAAATCATAACTTCTAGTACAGTAAAAATGCGGAAATGATCATTATATAGAAGAGGAAAGTTTCTTACTGATGGCCTTCAGCATTTGGGAAAATGTAACAGTTATGTAGAGATAGGCAGTGTTTCCTAACCACAGAGTCATTGCAAACATTGCACCTATTGGAATAACTGATGTAACATATCTGAGAACATAGAGAATGAGCTTTTCAGTTTCAAGGTATTTACAATGTCCAAATAAATAAAAAATGCCTACAATGTCTCCTATTTCCTTACATGTCAAATGTCATTCCGTCTTCCACCTTCATGACCTTTTTAGGAGACTAAAAATTAGAAATACGTTTTGACTTATGAGCATTACAAGAAAAGTTCATAATAATAAGTTAATAACCAATGAGATATATACCTTAAAAACCTTCGTGAGGAGGAAACACAAAATAGAGGAAAAGCTCATGTGGAGTAAAGTCAATCCAAGTGGATAAGGGAAATTTATTTCCTTAGATGACAATACCCACTGCATTAGAAGAAGTCAGAAATTGAATTGAAATTCATCAACTCGAAGCTAAACCAAATTTCGTAATAATATGAAAAGTGGAAAGCTTAAACCGAACCCGAACTAATTAAACTTGAAACTTTGTGCAACCAAACTGATTAGTTAATAAAAACAATAAACATTTAAATATACAACTTACTAATAATTAATTGATTTATGTTTTTCATCTAAAGCCAAACCCTACCCAAAAACCACATTTCCTATATAAAAAAAATCGTTTGTAATGTAAACATAAGTCCCAAAATTTTGAAAAACTTAAAACCCAACCAAACTGAAAAAAAAAAACAGACAGATCTCGTATAAATCTAGCTTGAATATAAAGATTGCAATTAGGAAATGATTCGAACGTGAGAATTGATTCAAACCTTATTGAAGAAGATTTGACCACTAGAGAGGATGATGTAGAGAAGAATGGAAGCATACTTTACGTGTTCATCTCTGAGGAAGAAGCCTTTGATCCGATTTCGATCCGCCAATTAAAGTCAACAATGGTTCTGGTCTCAAATTAGCTAAATAGGTTGACAAGAAAGTAACGAAAACCATCGGGTCCCACTTTGAATAACTTCTTTTTTACGCAGTCCGTTTTCGTTGATCAAGATGGGTCGGAATCCGGGTCATAATTAGACCAATATAATGTTTAAATGAATTCAAAAGTGTGGGCATTCGGTTTCGGTTTGGTTTTAACCATTGTGGAGTCGTCAGCATCACTAACCAATGGAAATGTTATGAACTGAAAACTCAAATATACATGTACAATTGTTCCAGTATAAGATTAGATAAAAGAATTCTAAATATTACATATAAGAATAATGAAAATTTGTCATGGGGAGCTGGATTTCTTACTATTGGATTGGGCCATGAAACCCAAAAGAAAATATAATTTAATAATTTATATTCTAAATAATCAAATATTCGGAGTTGGGTTAGACAAATATTGGCTCAAAATACAAAATTCAGTCTATTAATCTACTCGCGGACCAACTAAATGTCGTCTCGAACGTGCGAATTAAGCGAGCTCCAAACTTCGAGATATCCGATTAAAGTCAAAAATATTCTTCTAACAGCTTGGAACTGTTACAGGATCACGGAAACGGCGTAACAAAAAATGGCCTGAGATACGCGATGGCAGTTCGAATTTCGAAGAGAAGTATAAAAATTCTCGTAACACACGAAGAACAGACATCTTTCCTTTAGAAAAAACCCTAGAATTACAGTTATCTTTTGTACTCTTTTTCTTCGAAAAATCTTGTATTCATCTCCGATAAATTCAATAAAAGTCTAATTTTTTCAATACATTTCTATATTCGATCGATTCAAAAACAAATCGGGCTCATCATTATAAAAACTATATACAAATTTCTGAATGTGAAATTTAGCAATCACAATATTTGATTGGCTAGCTCTGAATGATATACTAATTTTAGAAGTTTTTTTGTTTATAATTCTTTATTGAGACACTATTTGAGTAAATTGTGCAGTATCATTTGAGAACATTAATTTCGACAAATTTTCATTGAGATTTCATGTAGCGTGACTAATTAGCAATCACAGTTTGTATTGACATAAACCAAATTTATAAGTAAAACCCAACAATGGAGAACACAGAAGTTTGAGAATAAGAAATTAAAGATCATTGACCATGGAGAGACCTAAAGGTTTTGCCTAGCTTCAGATGAGATAAAATTAAAAATTAACAATGAAATCAAAATCTTTAAAAAAACAATGAAATCAAATTACCATAAGATATTGCTTTCAAGCTAAGCACTACTTAATTTGAGCCGTCCAGGCTCTAACCGATAAACTTATTTTATTCACCACGTGTTTAACGATTATTTAAGTTAGTTTAGCTAGCTACAAAAAAAATGGATGTAAGCAGATAGTTAATGTTTGTAATTATGAAAGTGCAAAATAATAAACTACAATGCGAACCGATTCATCCCGTGAACGAATAGCATAACTGTGTCAAGTCAACTTGCCAACTATTCCTAATTCTTTGTTTATTCGTAAAAATAATAAAAGTGTATAAAAAACATTTTTTTGTTACTTGAATACGTAAAATAGTATAATAATATGTCTTACAAGTTATACAATATATGCAATGATCATAAAGCCAGTTGATGCCAAACATTATCGAAAAGAATAAGTAAAAGACACTGTTTTGAAATTGCTAATATTTTTTTATTTATTTTGGGTGTACTTTTCTGTCTATTAATATAGCATCTTTCAGTAAACCTCGGCTTGCCATTGCATCATATCTTTTTGCCAATTTTATAACCAATGAACCTTTTTCCTGGTGTGAACACAAAATAAACCTTTTCTCATATATTATAGACGCAGACATATTTTGATATTATTTTTGTCACCATAGCTTTCCGCCAGTTACGTTATCATATTATTTTGTAATTACAAATGATGATTTAGGACTGATAAGACATGAATCTAACTATATGCATAATAACACTTGGTATATGACATCATATTGAATGGTTTCAATTTTACGCATAAAACCACAAATCTTTGATCTATTTGCCTCCAACATCTACAAAAAAATGAATTTACTACAATCGAACTTCATATCTAACATAATCATAAACTCATGATACTCATCAGTTACTGGATCAAAAGTTTTTCTACCACTATTAAGTCTAAACTCTTATCGAACAACAAAGTTTATCATATTTTCGTGATGTTACTATTTTTAGGATATGAAACTCAATTTTTTTTTTTAAAAAAAAGGAACAAAAAATAACAAATAGAATAAAAGCAGATGATAAAGTGTAATTAGAATCTGATCATTGTTATTATCTTTTTTTTTTCTGGCCGAAGAATCCCATGCATTAGTTAAAAAGTAAAAAGGAAATATAATATCCCAAAAAAGCTAAAGATTTATGGAGCAGAAACAACGAACTTATTATGCAATTACATATTGAGAAAATGAGAGCTCATAGAACAGTCATTTTTTTGTTGATGTTAAATGTCCATAAAAGAGTTTTACGTAACACATTTCAATGCAGACCGTAAGAAAGAGAAAGAAGATATGTTATAATGAAATAATAGTAATATATGTAATAAAGTGGTGTCAGAAAGAATAAAGTGGTAGTGTGATAATTCGATTTCGTCAATTTATAGTATGTTGTAATATTCCTCATATAGAATGTTAATAATTGTTCTCCAAACAAAGTAAAGTATTTAGGAAACGTTGAAACTTAAAACTATACAATTACAAAGGAGACAGTGAGGATAACAAGGTATCAGAATCCCAACAAACATAGAAGAATTTTTTAAAAAGAAAAACAAACAAGGAAAATTTTAGGAAGAGATTAAAAAATATTATATCTTTGTTTTTAATAGTTGACTAAAGTGTTAATTAATGTTTTAAATTCGAGTTTGATTCTAAAAAGGTGACTTTTGCAAGTTAATAGAGGTAAATTTATATATAATTTTCAGTGTACGTAGTATAAATATAGCGATTTGTGATGGTTACGGTTTGTATAGATTCTTATGCAATTGAAAAATTATCTTTATAATTGTTCTACAAATTTGTAAGAAAATTTTTAAATAACAGGAAATAAAAAATATAAATTACAAACTTGAAATCTTATATCATAATCCCTCAAAACTTTGAACTCTAAAATTTAAATACACCAGGTATAATTTTCTTTAAAGCTAAAAGACTTGAAAATAAAGTTGTCACAGATAATTAATAAATCTTAAAATAATGAAAAATAAATAGAAATATAAAAATATATAAAGTATGTAAGATAAAAAGAAAAGATTCTGAACTAGGTCATGTAATTTATTTTAAGGATATTTAATTCCAAACTTATTAAATTCTGACCAATTGTTACGATTTATTTCCTAAAAATGCTTATTTGTTATTACACACTGGATCACAAAAATATTTCTCTCAGTTTTTAGTTCAAAAAATGGAGAATCCCGTTGGATTAGAAAACATCAGAAGGCTATAATTAGGGCACTTGTGGAGAAGCAATAAAATAGTGGGGTTTATGTGTAATTATCTAAGGTCCTACAAAACGAATATTAAAATTATATTTTTTTAGTTTCTTTGACGTTATTATTAAATAAATAAAAATTTCTTTCTCCGGAAAAGAAGAGAAGCACTCTTGTGAGAGTTTGCGTCCATTTGAGTAAGAAAAGGCCAAAAGGAAGCCAAAACCAAAACCAAAACCCATCATTTCTTCTTCTTCTTCATCGCCACCGCTTCAGTTTTCTCTCTCTCATGAAACATTAGATTCTAAATTATATATCTACGATCAAGCATTCTCGTCTGCTTTGGTTTAGAAATCTGAAATGGGTATTCATTAATACTCTCATTTCTGGATTTTAAGCTTTGGATAATTTCTGATCAAAATTTTGCTTTTTTATGAAATACGACGGGAGAGAGAAGAAAAAAGTTTGCAACTTTTCTTTTTCCGTTAATTGTTTTTGGTGAATTGTGATACGTTCTTAGTGAGGGTTTTCTAATTTCTTTAGAATTTCTGATCTAATGGCTACGATCACTGAGATTCCCACTGATGTCGATCCCGTTCACGAAAACGTCATCGGCGGCGGAATCGAGAAGAGCTTGATGACGGATTCTAAACCGGTATCCGAATCGGACATCAAACCCGAACCGGAGTTTGATCAAATGAAGAAGCTTGTGGCGATGTTCAAGAAACTGAATCCTGAAGCTAAGGAGTTTTTCCCTTCTTACAAGAAGAATAACCATTCTCTGTCTTCTGGCGATTTTGCGATCGCTAAGAAGCATTCTGGTGAAGAATTTTACGGTGACAACAAAAAGGATGGCATTAATCGGAGGGTAACAATTTTGTTTCTGTTTCTGATTAAAGAATGTGGATTCTCACTGCTGAAAAGTTTGGATTTTGGTTCTTGTTGAACATGCACAGTAATTTGATTGGCTACTTTTGGGATGATGTTTCTCAGGTGAAGTTAGTTTGGTTTTTTTTGCTGGAAAGTCTCTAGCTTGGAGGTTCATTTGATGATTTCATATAGAAAATTTTGTTTGGTTTGAAATCTTTACATTGTCATTATCACGTTGTAATTTGTCTGTTTTTGTTTCGTGGTATACAGAGAAGAACCAGCTTTAACCAAGGGAGGAAAGTGAGGTTAACTGGAAGAGCTTCTAAGGCTCAAAGAGAAGATAGTATTAGAAGAACAGTGTATGTGTCTGACATTGATCAGAGTGTAAGTTACTTTAGTCTCTCTTCAGATTTTGCAGAAAGGGAATTCATTTTTGTATTATTGTAATTATACATTCTTCTCTTCAATTAGGTGACTGAGGAAATCCTGGCTGGCTTGTTCAGCAGCTATGGGCAAGTAAGTTCAAAACTACAAGATTCTCTTCCTTTCAACTCAGTTTCAGTGAAGTAAAAGAAATTGCATTTTTTCTTATGAAGGTTGTTGATTGTCGAATCTGTGGAGATCCAAATTCGGTTCTTCGTTTTGCATTTGTTGAGTTTTCTGATGATCGTAAGTTAAACCTGTTGGATTGTTAAGTCTTCTTTACTAAAAAATTCAATGTTAAGTTTGACTTACATTTGCAAGAATCTGTTCCAAAAACAGAAGGTGCACGGGCGGCTCTAAGTGTCGGTGGAACAATGATCGGTTATTACCCAGTTAGAGTCTTGCCTTCAAAAACTGCTATTCTTCCAGTGAATCCCACATTTCTCCCCAGGGTAATAAACAATTTCCATTTTGTGAAATTAGAGTTTACATTTTGAGTTTTAAAACTGATATTTATGGTTGTTTTTGGTGTTTTATTCAGTCAGAAGATGAAAGGGAGATGTGTACAAGAACCATCTACTGCACAAATGTCGACAAGAATGTAAGCACATGTTCTCTCGGTTAATTTTTGTCTACTTTTCATTTTGCATACTTGTTTCTGTAAACTTACAGGCCACTGAAGATGATGTCAAAACCTTCTTTGAGTCTGCATGCGGTGAGGTCAGTCTAGAACCCGGAAACTACTATTTTCTCTCTCTCTCAAAGACAATATGAAATTTGAAAATGCAACAAAAAAAACACTTCTTCCTTCATACAGGTTACTCGCATAAGGCTTCTTGGTGACCAATTGCATTCTACTCGCATAGCTTTTGTTGAATTTGCCATGGTAAGCATTCTGTTGAAAAACCGCTGCTTTTGTTTCTTCTTTCATTAGTGTTTACAAGTAAAGCCAAATTGTCCAAAGTCTTATGATTCTTAGTTTTACTTGACAACTGAATGCTTTTTTCTTTTGTTGCTTTGGGGATGAAATAGGCAGAGAGTGCAGTTGCAGCGCTCAACTGCAGCGGAATAGTCTTAGGATCTCAGCCCATAAGGTACATATGTTTCTCTTTTTGCAATAAATCTTTCATTGAATATCATAATTTGATATGATATCTTTGATTTCTTCAGGGTAAGCCCTTCGAAAACACCAGTGAGGTCACGAACCACTCGTTCACCATCGACAAACTAGCAGAAACAGATTCAGTACTGGCTTCTGGTAGTGAAGGAGAGTGATGCAACATTTCGTTTTTCCTTTAGTAATTTTTGTTTTTATAGAGCTGTTATCTTTCCAGTTCCGTAGTATCTGGAAAGCAAAAGCATCCATGAACATGCTTCTTGAGTTTTGGAGTTCTTGTTCTGAGGCTCATTTTTAGACGGAGATACTATTACAGTTTTATTATATTTCTGAAAGGAATTGTTGTAGGAAGTTGGGGGAGTTCTTGAGTATTTTACTACTGAAGTTTTCCAACAGAGCCATTGTTACTCTACTACTATGTCAGCTTTCGAAGTCCGCATTGGACGAGTTTTAGAGTTTATCACACCTGCACTAATAAATGGAGAAATTGCAATATAATGTATACCGTAATGAAATACAATGTAGTGTGTATCAAATCACGTCTCTAGTGTGGTAGTCTTCAGCACGAAAAATAGAGTTTGGTACAAGGAGGCATTTGAAATTGACAGCGAAGTTTTCCAGAATCTCTTAAGGAATCGAATGCTATACAGAAGATCTGATCACTCAGGGTATCTCTGCAATATAAACGTTCTCTGAAGCTTCATGAAGCTTCAATAATCTTTCTCTTCCCTGTATCCGGCTTTAGCTTCTTTGCCAATTTCCTTCAAGAGAGATATTCAGTTTTCTTCCTGAAAGGAAACAAGGCAAACAGTATGAATGTTTTGCGACTATGGATACATTGTTGTAAATTTCAGTATTTCAGTATCAAAGAAAGACTTTTCGTTCGATACCTTCCACGCAGGAGTTGTTCACCATCAATCTCCACCAGCTGGATATGCTTGATCTTGAACCATTCCATGTCTTTTCTAGAAATCTTTTCTTTCAATATAGGACAACCATTTATGCGCAGGAGAGACAAGGAGGAAGGAAGGCCTTCATCTGGCAGTGATGCTAACTTATCGCATCCGCTGATTTCGAGTATCCCCAGAGTTGCTAAGCCTTCAAGTCCTTTGTAATTCAAAGTCCGGAGATTCTTGAATCCGCTTATGCGTAGAGTGTAAAGACTCCGTGGCAGGAGACTTTCCTCTGGGAACGATTCAGTGTCATCATTTCCTTCCTCCATCTCAAAATTACGCAAGTTACCAAGATATCTCATGAGCCAGCTACATGTTGGTCTGAGCTTTTGGCAGCGACTGATGCAAAGCGTTTGAAGACTTTCGGGGAACTGACCGAGAGGAAGGCGCTCAAATTCAGGACACTCGTTTAAATGAATCGACAGAAGAGAAGTGAGGGTGTTCAATTTTGCAGGCAGCCGTCTGAGATTCCTGTAGTTTGAGATTAAAATTGACGAGAGTTTCAGGGTTCGCAGTCCTCCTTCAGGGAAGAATTCCAGCTTCGGGCAATCCGTAATCTCCAAGGCCTCAAGAGCTAAACGAACATCACTACGATCCAATACGGTGGTGAAAGAGCTGAGTTGCTTGCAGTCTCTTATTGAAAGGCTTTTGAGATTCAGAAACAAGGCTAACGGGAACGAGGATAGAGTGCTGCAACTACTGCCTATGAAGAGATCCTCGAGACGAGGAAATATGAGCATTGGCTGCAGACTTTCTATAAACACCATCTTCACGCAATCTCTTATGTACAGAGTTTTCAAAGTGGTGGAAGGGTATCCACCAGGAAAGGCCTCCAGGGACTGGCAATCAACGAGTAAAAGCTCCTCGAGATTTGGACAATCTTGCAACAAGCTCTCTGGCAGAAATTCTAGTCCGGGGCATCCTTCAATATGTAGTCTACTCAGACTTTCTGAAAGCTTTTCCAGCTCAGGAACTTTTGTCACTTTAATACTTTCAAAACTCGTGTCATCTTGGGAACTCTCAGAACTCTTGTCATCTTCGTCTTGCTGAGGTATCATTTTCCTAGAACTGCTACCAGCATCAATAGAGAGTCTATCCACGTTATACAATAGATTGTTCTGATATGGCTCCGTGGCTACAGCTATATCTCCATGTAGCTCTTCTTTTTCAGACAAAGATGGTTCTGAAACTTTGCCATAGTCCTCCTCACATCTTAAATCGCAATCCGAGATAGTAACTTGTGTGATTTCTGGGATCCCCTTTGGATACTTCTTGAGGCTGGGGCAACTTCTTATGGTTATTTTCTTAAGGCGTGGAAAGATCCCCCCTTCTAGTTCAGGACAATTCCAATCTTCCCATCTTGGCATGTCGTAGAAACTTAGACTCTCAAGGTTTGGAAACGGTTCCAGGGGGGTTTGACTGTCGTTCTCACCGTAGAAAAACTCTAGACCAACCTTCTTCAATATCTTGAATTTCTCAATGCTGAGGTACTTGAGTTTAGGCAGCTGTCCCAGTGGGGGCAGCAATATGCAGAGACTGCAGCTAGTCAAAGAGACAGACGTCATGTTGATGAATGAAGTGTCACCCAACCAACTAGGAAATGTCGCACCCCAATAAGAGTTTATGCTGACCTTTTCCAAGTTAGGATGAGGTTGGAGCTTTTTAAGCAACTCACTTTGCTCACAAGCTATTTTTTTGGAACCAGAAGTTTCCATACTCCATGTGAGGACCAACTTTTTGAGGAATGGCTTTTTCCTCAGACCAGCGCCACTCGCTTCTGTGAGTGAGACCACGTTTTGCAGCTCAGAGATGTGAAGTGTCCCTCGAAGTTCATGAAGATCTCCCAGCTCTTGCAGCCGGGCACCACTCATCATCTCTCCTATAACAAAATTTGACAGCCTCTGCAATCTACTGAGGTAAATAATTCCTTGTGGCATCTCTACTAACGGAGTCCGTAAGAGGAAGAGATAGCGCAAGCTGATGGCATTTATTAAGGTGTACGTCAAATATCTGAGTCGACGGCAATTTGACAAGAAAAGCGTCTGTAGATTACGGGTGAACACAAACTCTGGAATTTGTTTTACGTCGGTGTTGGAAAGATCTAGATACCGTAGCTGCTTTACGTTCCTGAATGAATCAGGAAGTTTGGTTATACGGTAATGAGACAAGCTAAGGATTCGTAAACAACTTAATGACTGTTCTGAGAAGTTTGGCAATGGGTCTAGAGCTTTCTCTGCAAGTTCAGAAGACCCAAAACGTGGTGGTGTAAGAAAGGTTCTCAGATACTCAGCTCCACGGGTGAAAGTGGAGGCTACAGAAGAATCCCACTGCTTTCCACAAAATGATAAATGTCGGACCCTCTCTGGTATCTGCCCCATATTGTCATCTTCCAGTCTGAAGCAAAAATCTCCTGCAGCAGTTTTAGCTAAATCATTCATGAGGTCGTGCATTGTAAACTTGTCCTTGTAGCCCAATGACTGGAGAAAAGATCTAGCAACTAAATCGTCAAGGTACTTGTTACCAATGTCTTCCAATTCTTCGTAGCTCCCAGGTTGGTATAAGAGGTCAACTGCCATCCATAGAAGCACCAAGTCCTTCCTATCAAACTCGTGACCCTTTGGGAATAGAGAGCAGAACGCAAAACATCGCTTTAGGTGACAAGGGAGAGAATCATAGCTCCGCTGAAGAACTTCAAGGACACCGGTAGTGTAGTACAAGAAATTTCTGGATACATCATACCATGCTTGGAGATCATCTGGCTTGGACCGGAGATGAGATGCGATAGTCGTGGCCGCTAATGGCAAGCCCTTACATTGTTCTGCAATCCTTTTGCCAACTCTTTCTAGTTCATGGTCTATAGATTTTCTTGACTTATACCCAAAAACAGAACAGCAGATCAGCTCCCAGCATTCTGTATCAGTCATCAGCCTCAGTTGGTAGGTTCGAGCTGCCTTCGTGATAGAAGTGACAACATCGCTTTGAGTAGTTAAAACGATCTTGCTTCCTTCGGATCCGCCAGTGAAAGCAGTGAGGAAGAGGTTCCATTCTGAACTACTCTCAGACCAAAAATCATCTAGAACAAGTAGAAACCTCTTCTTCGCAAGTGTTTCCATCAGCTGAAATTGAAGTGAAGATAGATCATCCTCGGTGTTAACTGTACCAGAAGTGATTTTGTGGAGAACCTCTTTGGTCACCCTGAAGACATCAAAGTCTTGCCCAACATAGATCCACACTTTAAAATCAAAATGCCCGGTCATACTCTCGTCATCGTAAACGACTTGTACCAGTGTAGTCTTGCCAATCCCTGGCATACCGCTAACTGAGATAACGTCCGGAGTTCCACTGGAAACTATATCGCCAGAAAGTAGCAAATTGGTAAATGCTAGCTTATCCTCCTCTCGCCCAAAATCTCTGTTTTGAAAAAGAGGACTCATGTGTAACCTAGGCTTCCGCTGTGCATCTACCGACCCCTCATATTCTCTCAGTCCAAGCAATTTTATTTGATCCTCAAGATGTTCCAGTCGTGCAACTACGCCTTCCATCTTTTTCTGGAGAGGTCTGGTCCAATTATTTAGAAAGTCCTTGTACAAAAAAAAGTTTAGACTCATAAATAGCTATAATAAAAAAAATTTAAACCTATAAAAAGACTAAAAAATTTTAGACCCATAAAATGGACCCAATAATTCACAGAATTTTATTATGAAAATTTTAAACCCATGAACCATTGCACTTTTGCCCTACCCACTGGGGCTGATGTTTGTGTTCTCCAACTATGTCTTCGAAAATATTCTCTGCGTGGAAGGAAGCATCTTGGAATTCAGTGAGCCACCTCTTAACTCCTTCAACAACATATGCTTTCTGATCCGCATCAGCAAGCACCTTACTTACAGCCAGAAAAGACACCTCAAATTTTGCCAGCAATTTCTTATCATCACCGAAGAACTTGTCATTAAAGGAAGAACGAAGACGATGGAATGCTATTTCCAAACCATCTGATAAATGTGGGTTTGCCATGATCTCTCTCCTAGAAGCTTATTGTAGCTCTGATATGAGGACAAGTTACCTAGTATAATCAAAAAAAAAAAAAAACCCAGATTTTACCTTGCCATTCTTTGTATTATTTATCAACAGGTCTGGATTAATAGATATGAAGATTCTAGTTTTTTTTTGTGCAATCAAACATTATGATATGTTTTCCTTGCAGCAACGAAACATTATGATATATATTTCTAGCGTCAAGACTAAACATTATGATATTTTTCTAGCGTCTTTGGAAATTGGAATGCATCCACTTCATCACAACATGTAACTAAAAAAGAGAGACAGAGAGAGAAACCTGAAGTTCTTATGGCTTTCGTTAGGTTCTTTCTCTGATGATAGGCAGCAATCTTCCTTTTCCCCTTTCTATCTTTCTTAAGTGAGAGGATGAACGGACGAGTTTCTCCATGTCAACTATAATGGCCAACTATTTTAGATCTAATTGGTTTAGTTCCCCTAACCAGGCCCAACAGGGTTTCTGATTCGGTTTGTTTATCGGTTATCTATTATTATTGTAAAAAAAAGCCCAAAAATATTAAATATATGTGCATGAAAAGGGTTAAAAACAAACAAAATTATAATATAATGGCCAAGTGAATATTTCTTTTAGACGCTATGTGAATATAATATAATATGAAAATAATAATAACAATATTATGTCCTAAAAGTCGCACAGAAAGTGCTTAAATAATGCACGACGTAAGGTTCAATTATTATTAAATCAAGTAGTTATTGGTGTAGTGGTTTTTTCAAAGAGGAGATTCAATATTATATTCAGTCCACTTGGGACTTGGGAGGAGGCGTAGGAATGCGCAAAATATCCCTTATCTATTTCGATCAGAAAATTTAGATTTTTTTACAGGAAACAAATTTATTGGTTTCAAACTGGAAATACAAAATACCGATTTTTTCAGAAACAAATTCGTTTGTATAAACTTACTAACACTGACTTAATCACTGTGTTTTCTTTGTAACTAGGTGTTTAGTCCGCAATTTACCCGGGCAAATATGTTTCATAAACTAATTACATCATTAAATTATTAATTTTGTTACCAATAAAAATCTAAACATAAATATAACAACAATATTAGTCATTCAACCAAAACAACGAAATAAAGTAGTGACTCGCTAACATCAATTAATATCATCCCTCGTATTTTCATCATCTTCGGCTTCTTCTTCTTATTCTTCATCACTTTCGTCTTCTTTAACTCCTTCTTCTTCTTTATGATTTTAATTATTCTTCTCCAAATCCTTATTTTTCCCACCTTATCTTTTCCTTCTTCTTTATCATCATCTTGACTTCTTTTTCACCACATTCGTATTCTCTAATTTCTTCTTCCATTTCCAATTATAATCTTCATCTTCTGCTTAATATTCTTTGTCTTATTTGAATGTTTAGCTTGTGAGTTTTACTTTCTTTTGGACCTTTACTTTTCTCTCTTTGTGAGTTTCACTTCTTTTTCAAAATAATTAATCGCCAACAGAGTCTGTTTTTGGTGGAGTGTGAGTTTTCATTCTTTTATAATTGTGTATGAAAGATCTAATATTTTATTGAATGTCAGTATTTTAAAAAATTTTAACATTGGAATTAACGGTAACAAATCATTTAGATTGGTTGTTCTCTTGTCTCACCACCATTCTTCTCTTCCAGTGTCTTGTTCGATTGAGAGTATAGAATGTCTATTTTTATAAATTTGATTTTAACAAAAAATTTGATAAAAATAACAAAATATATAGAAAATCTATATAAAATATCTCATTATATTCATTTTTCTCCCTTATTGTACTATCTTATTTCGCAGTCTATTACACTTATCAAATCCATATTCAGTTAGAGACGAATGTAACGTTGTAAATAATGAGTTAATATGTAGATGAGCAAAATGCAAAAGCTTCTATGTTTTTTTTATAGACAATTTATATTTTTAAATTGTTCAATTTGTTATCTCTTTTTTTTTTAAAAAATAGTTATGCTATATTATTGATAAAAAATAGATTTTCTATGTTATTAGTATCATTATTGACGTATGAATAAAAATTCGAGTTTGTTTTTTGAAATTAAAATTATGTTAGACGTGAAATAAAATGATGTTTTTAGGTTCTATTATATGGTTTAAACAATTAACAGTATCTAAGTTATGCAACAAAAAAAAAAATTTGCGAGGTAAAAATATGTGTGTCAAAATAAATATAATAAACAGTCTATTTTTTTCTTACTAATCTCTGTTATGTTAGTGATTATACTGTTTATATTGACAAAACATAGTAATAGTTAGGACTGGAACAGAGCCAGATATCCGGACTTTTCAAGGTATCCGGATCCGGATCCGGATTCGCCGGATAATCAATTTTACTATCCAGATCCGGATCCGAAAACTCCGGATATTCGGAGACCGGATATCCGGTTTGAACCAAATATTTACGGATATTCGACTGAATATCCGATTTTGTATATAATTAAAATGTATCAACATAGCAAAAATTAAAAAGCATTCAAATAGCATTCAAGTAGCAAAAAATTTAAAAGTTTACATAGCAAAAGAGAAAATAGTAATAGAGAAATTAATTTATCTTCATATCCATGTGTTATCTATTTTCATGTTTTTTTTCTCACAATCTGAAATATAAAAATTATAACGGATATCCGATTTCAAAATTTTCTATTATCTGGATCTGTATCCGAAATAACTGATTACTTAATTTCACTATCCGGATCCAAACTCCACGTATATTCTGTTTTTACGGATCGGATAGGACCGGATACTGGATCAGATACCGGATAATAATTCCAGCCCTAGTAATAACTAACATGTGTGGTGCGTCTGTGAAAAAATTCTCTCTCCAATTGCCAATGTACCCTTTATCCATAATGGTATTTTCGTCCAAAAACTTCCACATTGTTACTTGCTTAATTATCTGATTTTCGTGATTATATTCTTCATCAATTATTGGATTTTGATTATTCATTTAATTAACCCTTAAAATAATAGTAAGAAATCTTTTAAACCAAAATTAACAAAAATAAATGTGGGATAGTGGTGTTATATCGATGAATCCTAGAAAGCGACAAATAAAGCCTTAGGTCTAGCTTGGTATTAATTTAAGTACAGAATAGAAGGATAAATTATGGATGCAAAAAATGTCCGCAAGAACACGAAAGTGTGGACAATTTACTACGAAGTGTTTTGATATACCTCATACATTTACATAATGTAAGTTTACATCATCGGTTAGGATTACTGAACTGATTTAAATACCAAAACTTTCGGAAAAGAAAAAAATTTATCTTCGATCTTCTAGCATATTTGATCTTTTTTTTGAAGATTGGTCTTTATTTAGATAACCATAACTCCATAAGTTTTCAGAACAAAACAAATACCATAATGTTTTGTGATTATTTCTCCAAATTCTAAAGTAAGACTATTCACAACTATCGATAATATTTATAGTATTGATAAGGCTGGGATAATCAATCTAATCGAACCGAACCGAGATTCTCAGTTTCAGTTTGTTTAGTTCTCTTTCTCTCAGCTGAACCGATTGCCAGATATCCAATTGGTGAGTTCACTTACCCGAGAATTTTGGTTCAGTTCCAGTTTGGATGTTGGATCGATCTGATTCGTTTCTCGGTTACTGTTTTTTTTTTTAATAACTAGAATTTCACTAATACCCGAGTTTAGCTGAACTAAACTTAACCGAAATTATTGAATTTTATCCAAAAATAACCCACTTTAACCTTTTTCTAAAGAACAAAGATTCGGTTAATTTTGGGTTTTGTAATTTGATTGAGTTATCAGTTAATCTCGGCAGCGTCTTCAAATCAATGCGGTGAACCGATAATCAAACTAACCAATTCGGTTTGGTTCGGTAACCGAAGTCCCAGCCCTTCTATTAAATTTCAATCTTTGATTCTGGTCATTTTTTACCATCTCCCAACGAGAAGCAAAAAAAAAGTCGTAAATAATTTCATATTGGTACCACAAGTTGGCCCACTTCTTCTTACACGCTATACTATGTGAATAAATATGTTCTCCATGTCAACTATAATGTCCAAGTGAATAATTCTTACACGCTATATGAATAAATAAGAAAAAAAAAATATGGAGGATCTTCTCCATGTCAACTATACTGTCCAACTGAATACTTCTTACACGCTATATGAATAAATAAGAAAAAAAATATATATTTGGAGGATCTTCTCCATGTCAACTATAATGTCCAAGCGATTACTTCTTACACGCTATATGAATAAATAAGAGAAAAAATATATATGGAGGATCTTCTCCATGTCAACTATAATGTCCAAGTGAATACTTCTTACACGCTATCTGAATAAATAAGGAAAAAAAATATATATGGAGGATCTTCTCCATGTCAACTATGATGGCCAAGCGAATATTTCTTAAACGCTATGTGAGTAATAGTATGCCCTCAAAGTCGTACAGAAAGAGGCTACAAATATAACATTATGCACGACGTAACGTGCTATTCTTTGTTTTATAAACATCTAACTTTATAACGTCCTTTTTTTTTCTTATAACAAGGGTAAACCGAGTTTTCATAATCCGATTAATCATTTGGATGAGTGATACCATCGACTAACCCACTCATCGGGTTTTCAAATAAACCTAAAGTGTGACACCATCTTAGACTGACCAAATAGGAGTGGTTAGATAATTCTGCACTTGCGAAGAATCGATCCTTCACCTACCACCACCACTTGGTTATCAATTACGAAATTATTTAAATAGTGTAAGGGTAATGCATCAAATTCAAAAGGCAAGTTAAGAAGGAACATAATAAATCAATAACAACGCATCATTCTCGTAAGACGTAAGCCTTCTTCGACAACGCATCTGCTGCATTATTCTTCTCCCTATGAACATGATGAAGCGAACAATGAGGCAATTTTGAAGTCCAATACCTCAATTAGTTTCCACTTTCCAATTTTAGTGCTTTCTGTTTTTTCATTGATCAGATTTGCAAGTTCTAAGTTGTCTCTTTCAAACTAGATATGACGCCATCTTTTGGACCATATAAATGATCTGAATTCTGAAGAACATGGATTATCGTTCATTTTAAAACTCGTAATTCATTTTACTATACTTGTTATTACTTTTTCTGAAAATTTATACTCCTTATTATTTAAATCTATTAGCTAGTAATTTAATTTGAATTAAAATTACTTTGATTTTTTTGGAATTAATATATTCATTTTTTATTTTTATTATAATAATAATCATTACTAGATTCTACCATGTACATCTGCACAAGATTTTTTTTTTGTTTATCGAATTTTGTAGTATAATTTCTGTTTTTAAGTTTATATAGAATTATTTTATATAATTATTTGTGCTTTTAGATTTATATAGAATTATTTTTATAGAATGTGTTTTTAAGTTTATATAGAATTAAACATAAACAAATATATATATATATATATATATATATAAATATATATATAAATATATTCAAAACAAAACTAAAAAAACCTTATAATTTATATAAAAATTATGAGTTTGGCGGAACCAGAAAGTTTTTTCATTGGGGGCATATATGGGGCATATATGAGTTTATTAGTGGGGCGTTCATAGTTTACTTTATAAATTACATCAGTTTTTAATAATTTACTGGGGGCATATGACCCCAAAAAACTGTATGTGGTTCCGCCACTAAGTTTAATGCTGTAATATTTTAATATTTTATTTAAAATATAATATATAAAAAAATCTTATTAAATATAATTAATTGCATATAATTATTATTAACAAAATACTCATGCTATACATAAAATCTAGTATATCTAAGTTTAAAATAATGAACACACATAACAATTAATTTCCGATTAATCTCTGTTTTCTTTGCTAAGCGCTAGATACACCTCAACCGCCCAACGCCTAACGCCTAGCGAACATATGGTATCAGTATTCATTTCATTGTGTTGGTCAATTGAATACTTCTTCCGCGATATGTGAATATTTAATAATATGGCAACAAATTCGTACAGAAAGAGCGTATATATATATATATATATATGCACGACGTTGCATCTTGCATGACGTAACGTGCAATTACTACGTAGTTTTGTTTATCAATAGTGGTGGTACAACAAGTTGGGCTTCTTGTTTTGTATTTCTTTATTTTTAAAGTCAATGGGGTGGATTTCATCACCCTAAAGGTTTCTATGCAAAAGTAAGAAATGTTGTAAAGAAGTTCAACAGAAGGATACAAAAGTTAACCTTATTGTTTGACGAGCGTTTTTAGGCACTCCTAAAAGACTGAAAGGATGCCGATCGCCGAGACGATGATTCTATCAGCTGTCCTACAAAGCCTGGTGAAGTTGTTAACGACTCTCGCTGTGGAAAACTTTTTCAAGGGGCGAGGACAAAATGAGACCATACCGGGGAGGCTGAATTCCACACTTTTGACAATAAATGAAGTGCTTATTGATGCGGCGGATCAGCAAATAACGAGGAGGGCAGTTGAAACTTGGGTCAATGAGGTGAAAGATGCAGTTTACGAGGCCGAGGATGTTCTTGATGATATTACTACAGAAGCATGGCGTCGAAAAGAAGCTACCAACTGGCTTCGGCTTGACAGTGTGCCCTCCCTTTCGAAGTCCAAGCTTCAGATGGTCACGGAGAGGCTCGAGAAACTAGAATTACGGAAAAATAGCCTCAATTTGAAAGCGGACACAAGGTGCAGACACATAGCAAGATCGACGACAACATCTTCTCTAATACGCAAAGAAGACGTGCTTGGCAGGGAAACAGACATGGAGAATATCATGGGATTCTTGATGGCGGATATTTTAGACACTAACAATAACAATATATCCGTGGTAGCCATCGTGGGCATTGGAGGAGTTGGCAAGACCGCGCTTGCACAGCTCCTGTACAATGAGGTGCGGTTTGAGAATCATTTTACAAAAGCCTGGATTCATGTGTCAGAGAAGGTTGATGTTTTAAGCATTACCAAGATAGTTTACGAGTCGTTCACTTCAAGACCATGTCATTTCACTGACTTAAATCTACTCCAGGATAAGTTGAAAAAGAAGTTAGGAAGTAGCAAAATTCTGCTCGTTCTTGATGATCTGTGGAAGTGGAGTGAAACTTTTAGGGACTGGAATCTGCTATGCCAACCCTTTGCATCTGCTGCTCAGGGGAGCCTAATTATTGTGACAACGAGAAGTCACCATGTGGCGGAACACGTGCATGCTAGCCGCATACACACACTTCAGCCTCTTTTACCTGGAGACTGCTGGAGGCTGATTGAAGAACAGCCACATGGTGTTAAGAAGCAGGATCTTAATCGAGAATTTGGAACCCTTGCAGAAAAGGTAGTTCCCAAGTGCAATGGTCTACCTTTGGCTGCGAAGGAATTTGGCAATTTGTTATGGTCTAACGTAGAAGTTGGTTACTGGAAGAGAATCTTAAAAAGCAAGATCTGGACTGCTCCAACCGATTCGACCAAGATACTCCCTGTTTTACGAGTCAGCTATCATTACCTTCCGCCTCACCTGAAACGATGTTTTGCCTACTGCTCCATATTTCCAAAAGGTTATGCCTTCGATAAGAATAATGTAGTTCTTTTATGGATGGCAGAGGGACTTTTGGAGCAGGACAAAACCATAGAGAGGATGGAAGATGTTGGAGATGGATACTTTTCAGAACTAGTTTCAAGGTCGCTTTTCCAACGAGACAGTACTAAACCGACAAAGTTCATAATGCATGATCTTATCAACGAGTTGGCTCAATTTGCAGCGGGGGAGTTCTGCTTTAAGTATGAGGATGGAATTGAAGAGATAACAGGAAAAACAAGGCACCTGTCGTACCTGCGTGAACAATATAGTGGTGAAGCTGATAAGTTTGAGAAAGTGCCCGGTGCAAAGTTTTTGCGAACTTTTCTTCCTTTGAGCCTTGAAGATACTTCTAAATCCTGCAAATTAAATGGCACGGTCAGCGACAAGATACTCCCGAAGCTTACCCGCCTGCGTGTATTGTCTTTGTCTCATTATAGTATCGAGAAGTGGCCCCCACATATTTTCAAGAATATGAGGCATATCCGGTACTTAGACCTCTCTAATACTAATATCAAGAGTCTTCCAACATCTGTTTGTTGTCTGTATAATCTTGAAACACTTCTACTCTCGTACTGTCCCGATCTGATCCAACTGGACGAAGCTATCTGCAATCTTATCAGGATGGAACATCTTGGTCTGACTTCAACGGGGTTGAAACAGATGCCAATACAAATTGGTAGATTGAAGAGGCTCCATACTCTTACAACTTTCGTTGTTGGTGATGGAAAAGGGGCGAAGATTTCCGCACTTGGCGATCTCATAGAGCTTCGCGGAGAACTTACCATTCTTGAGCTGCATAGAGTTGGGGATGTCAGGGATGCAGAAGAAGCAAATTTGGAGACCAAGATCCATCTAAAAGTGATAGATTTTACCTGGAGAACATCGGGTCCTCTCTATAACCAAATCTCAGGGAAGCTGAACGAAGACGCGATCTTTGAGAAGTTACGTCCACATAACAAGATAGAGGCACTCACCATAACAAAATATTATGGAAATAGTTTCCCGGCGTGGATGAGTGAGCCTTCATTCTCTAGCATCGTATCCTTAGGTCTCTCTGAATGTCAATTGTGCAAGTCTTTGCCATCTCTTGGGCGACTATCAGCTCTCAAGGATCTTCACATTTCAAAAATGAGGGAGCTGAAAAGCATAGGTTCAGAATTTTACACCAGCCATCCTGAAAGGCCTCATCAAGATCAGCAGCCGTTTAGGTCCCTTAAGATGCTGACATTTGAAGACATGCCAAATTGGAAAGAGTGGGTAAATGTAGAAGTCTTCGGAGGAACGCTGTTCCCTAATCTTGAGGAACTTTTCATAGTAAGATGTCCACAACTGACCAGTGATCTACCGGGCCGTTTCCCATCTCTGATCTCTCTTCAAATTCATCAGAGTAAAAGCTTAGTTTTTCAGCAGGATGCCTACAAGTACCCAAAGCTTCCACCACTAAACTAATAATACATAGAAGCCATGAATTTCTTGCTACACTTCCTCTCTCGGGTACTTCTCTAAACTCGAAAAAACTTAAAACGTTTCCAAGTGCAGGTTCCAATCATTTCAGCTCTTAGATGAGGTTTTTACCTGATTTCAGGTCCCTAAGAAGGTTGAGAACCAGCGACTGCCCAGATCTGACGCTTCTTACGCAGAAGCCTACACCAACATCACAACCTGTAACTTGCAATCTCAAACTGCAGGAATCTCGTGATTTGATTTATGCCAGAGAAATTTTTTTCAGTCTGACGAATGTCAAACCCTTTATCTCATTTTCCTTGATTCGAACTTTTATTTGTAATGCGAGAATTGCAGAGAACTTGAATTTTGTACTTTGTAACTACATTTGTCCTATTTCGCCATGGATTTATTCCTGCCATCTGCAGATTATGAAACCCTTCTTTCCAATCTACTCTGCTCATTCAATTGTTCTGTGTATTTTCATTATTTCTTTTCAGGGGAGTCCTGAAATGAAAGAAACTAGTGATCTCTCATCCGAGAATACTAAAAGTACAGGGACTAATTTTGGTATTAGTGGATTATTGTCAATTCAAGTAACGTCGTTCCCTTGAATCGGGAAAACCCCTTCCTCTAGTCTCAACACTCTTAGGATACTCAAACCTTCCATCGTCATTTTCGAATTTCGATTCTTGCTTGAAGAATTCACCAGATGAGATGTGTTTTAGGAAGAAGATTGTCAAACCCTAATAATGGCTTTACCCTTGCATCCTGCTAAAAAAGGTGAGGTTTTTGGTTGTTGCTGAACCTGTAAATGAATCTTATTCTAAGTGGGTTTGCTTGTATTCATATGGTTTTTTTTCGGCATTGAATCACATTGATTACTTCTCGGAATGTTGTTTCTCAAATGAAGTTAGTTTGGGTTCTTTGTGCTTGAAAACCTCTTTTTTGGAGGTTCATTCGATGATTCAAATAGAAAAACTTTGTTTTTAATTTGGTTTACATTGTCAATTCTTGCAACTCTTACATGATCTTTACATGACATTTTATCAATTGAATTTTGCTAAACTTCCTGTTTTTTTTTTCTCTGGATTACAGAGAAGAACCAACTATAACCAAGGGAGGAAATTGAGGTTAACTGGAAGAGCTTCTAAGGCTCAAAAAAGTATTAGAAGAACAGTGTATGTATCTGACATTGATCAGAGTGTAAGTTACTTAGGCTTCTCACTTTCTCTTCAGATTTTTTGCAGAAACGGAATTTATTTTTGTATTATTGTAATTATACATTCTTCTCTTCAATTAGGTGACTGAGGAAATCCTGGCTGGCTTGTTCAGCAGCTATGGGCAAGTAAGTTCAAAACTACAAGATTCTCTTCCTTTCAACTCAGTTTCAGTGAAGTAAAAGAAATTGCATTTTTTCTTATGAAGGTTGTTGATTGTCGAATCTGTGGAGATCCAAATTCGGTTCTTCGTTTTGCATTTGTTGAGTTTTCTGATGATCGTAAGTTAAAGCTGTTGGATTTTTAAGTCTTCTTTACTAAAAAATTCAATGTGAACTTTGACTTACATTTGCAAGAATCTGTTCCAAAACAGAAGGTGCACGGGCGGCTCTAAGTGTCGGTGGAACAATGATCTGTTATTACCCAGTTAGAGCCTAACCTTCAAAAACTACTATTCTTACAGTGAATCCCACATTTCTCCCCGGAGTATAAAACAAGAGTTTCCATTTTGTGAAATTAGATTTCACGTTTTGAGTTTTTTATAAACTAAACTTATGGTTTCCTTTGGTGTTTTATTCAGTCAGAAGATGAAAGGGAGATGTGTACAAGAATGTAAACACATGTTCTATCGGTTAATTTTTATGTCTATTTTGCATTTGCGTACTTGTTCCCGGTCTTAAGATGCTTCTATAAACTTGCAGGCCATGAAGATGATGTCAAAACTTTCTTTGAGTCTGCTTGCGGTGAGGTCAGTCTAGAACCCGGAAACTACTGTGTCCTCTCTCTCTCGCAAAGACAATATGAAATTTGAAAATGCAACAAAAAAAACACTTCTTCCTTCATACAGGTTACTCGCATAAGGCTTCTTGGTGACCAATTGCATTCTACTCGCATAGCTTTTGTTGAATTTGCCATGGTAAGCTCCTCAGATCCTGTTGAAAAACCGCAGCTATTGTTTCTTCTTCCACTAGTGTGTACAAGTAAAGCTAAATTTCTCAGAGGCTTATGATTCTTTGTTTTTATTTTGTTGTTGTTATTGTTGCGTTGGGGATGAAATAGGCAGAGAGTGCAGTTGCAGCGCTCAACTGCAGCGGAATAGTCTTAGGATCTCAGCCCATAAGGTACATTTAGTTCTCTTTTGCAACAAATATTTCATTGAATATCGGAAATTGATATGATATCTTTGATTTCTTCAGGGTAAGCCCTTCAAAGACACCAGTGAGATCACGAACCACTCGTTCACCATCGACAAACTAGGAGAAACAGACTCAATACTGGCTTTTGCTGATGAAGGAGAGTGATGCAGCATTTCATTTCTCATTTAGTAATTCTACCATTTTTCAGTTATCTTTTATTTTATTTTCATAGAGCAGTTATCTTTCCAGTTCTGTAGTATCTGGAAAGCAAAAGCAACCATGAACATGCTTCTTGAATTTTGGAGTTCTTGTTCTGAGTTCTTAGACTCATTTGAGTTATATCATCTTTCTCAAACCAAATTTTTGTTGGTGTTCGTAATGGATAAGATCTCGTTATTCTTTTTATTTTTTTTTATCTCGTGTAGATGATTTAGATTTATTGTTATGTCGACGGTTGCTGCTAAACTCGGACGAGCATGACTTTTGGCCAAACAGCTCTAATTAGAGGGCGTTCTTAGATTGATCGAAAATATAGATCCTTTTTCGTCTGTTATACAAAATTTAGGGCCGGAACTGAAAATATGCAATAATTGGTCACGTGATACGGCATCGTTTGTGAAAACCCATACTAATACTGTATGTCGAATTAACACAGTAGCTCTAAAGTCTAAACCCTCGAAATCTTCCATCGCCATTGTTTGCTTGAAGAAATCTCCAGATGAGAGGTGCTATAGGAAGAAGATTATCAAACCCTAATAATGTCTTTAGCCTTACATCAATAGTCAAGCAGACTCCATTTCTAATCCAACCCACTTCTCATTTCTCCTCTTCCTCCGACGGCGCTGGCCGTGGCCGTGGACGAGGTTCTGGATTCGGCGGTGGAGATGGAGGATTTCCCGCCGCTGGAAGGGGACAATTCGGTATCAATCGTGAACCGGAAAGGGCTAACGAAGCGGCGGGTCACGGACGTGGCTCGTCGGAATCGCAATCTCCCGGTGGATATGGTCACGGTCGTGGCCGTCCGATCCAATCTGACCCGATTTCACCTGCGTTTTCCTCTTTTGTTAGACCGGATTCTCCTAGCGTTGGCCGTGGAAGAGGATCCGTCGGATCAGACCCGGTTTCACCTTTCGCTGCTCCGTCGCCTCCGCCGCCCAGGGATCAGTCTCATCGTCCCCAATTGAGCAGTGAAGAGCAACCGCAATCTCCGCCTGTCTTTGCGAAGCTTCAGGAGATGAAGGATGCAACATCGTCGCCGCCGCCACCACCAACAGAGTCTAAATCTGGGCAAACCGCTCCGCTCAACAACATATTCAATGGTTTAGGAAGCGAGTTTTCACAACCTAATCAGAGAATCGTTCCAGGAAGTGGAGCAGGTCGAGGAAAGCCTTTTGTGGAATCCGCTCCATTGCAACAAGAAGAAAATCGCCACATTCGACGCCCTCAGCCTCCGCCGCCGCAGCAGCAGCAGCAGCGATCGCAACCGCAACCGCAGCATCAGCAGAAGCGGGTTCAACCGCCCAAGGATGAAGCTCCCCGGCCGAAATTGAGTATTGAAGAAGCTGGAAGAAGAGCAAGGAGCCAGCTTTCACGCGGTGAAGCTGAAGGAGGCGGTTTAAGAGGAAGAGGTGGAGGGAGAGGAAGAGGAAGAGGAGCAAGAGGGAGAGGGAGAGGAAGAGGTGGTGAAGGATGGAGAGATGTTAAGATGGAAGAGGAAGCTGAACAAGAGGCTATCAGTACATTCGTTGGTGATTCTGCCGATGGAGAGAAATTTGCTAACAAAATGGGACCTGAGATTATGAAAATGCTAGCAGATGGTTATGAAGATATATGCGAGAGGGCTTTGCCGTCTACTGCTAATGATGCCGTTTTGGACGCTTATGAAACCAATCTCATGGTAAAGTTTCCGTGGCTTCTTACTCTCTAGTGATTTTCTTGAAAAGCTTACAACTTGATGCAGAGAATGCTGGCACTGAAACTTAAAGTAGTATTTGGAATAGTGAATTCACGAGAAAGCAATGTCGCTATAATGTGGTAGTATATGGATCATAGCTTGTGGCGGCTTTGAGGTGATTGTTAACTTAATAGGCCTGTATGATTCTCAGACTGATAACAGCCTCTGAGTTTTTTTGTTCTTTCATTGTGAACTTTTCAGCTAATGGAACGATGGAAAAAGTGTTTTTTTTGTTTGTTGTTGTTTGGCTTTGCATGAAAATGGATGTTGAGACTCTAAGTTTTCTCTGTCTATAGATTGAGTGTGAGCCAGAATATCTGATGCCGGCCTTTGGTTCGAATCCTGACATTGATGAGAAGCCACCAATGTCTCTGCGCGAGTGCCTTGAGAAGGTGAAGCCTTTTATAGTGGCTTACGAGGGTATCAAGGATCAAGAAGAATGGGAGGTAAGCATGTTCAATTTGTGATATCTGCTTTTTATGGGTCCATGCAATATTCTTTCCCCTGTTTGACCACTTTGATATTTTCACTTTTTGCAGGAAGCAATTGATGAAGTGATGGCGCAAGCTCCCCTTATTAAAGAGATTGTTGATCACTACAGTGGTCCTGATCGAGTAACTGCTAAGAAACAGAACGAGGAGCTGGATAGAATTGCCACAACAGTTCCCAAAAGTGCACCTGATTCTGTGAAACGATTTGCAGATCGTGCTGCTCTTAGTCTTAAGGTGTGTATCACTTTAACCAAACATCACTCTCTTTTATAAGATTCATCTTCAGACGTATTGATGTTTTTCTGAAACTTGGGCAATGCAGAGTAATCCTGGTTGGGGTTTTGACAAGAAATACCAGTTCATGGACAAGCTCGTCGCAGAGGTGTCGCAGAGTTACAAATAGAGAACTCTGGTTTCAATTTTTTTTTAAAGGTTCATCGCTGCCTTTGATTCTAGATCTTGCCTCGACTTAGACGGTACCCGTTTATTTTCCATGATACGTTTCCAGGGTTTCCGTAATAACGGCATTGTTCTACCAATCTTTGCAAGTCAGAGATTATGCTGTGCACCTGTTTGATGGGTTTCTAAGCCTGTTTTTGGATATTTGTAAACGGGAAAAAGAAAGGTTTTTATGGTTATAGTGACTAATACATGCCTTAAACCTAAAGAGAACGAAAGAGAGATTATATTGTGCTTGTTCATTATAAATCTCATTTCTTGAAAACAGCTTCGTAGAAGACATATATGGTCACTTATGATAATTGCAGCTGCTGTTGAGGCCGGTGCTTCAACCTCAAGTTACGATCCGCGATGGTTCAACTAAATGGTCTGAAATGGGCTGAAATGTGTGTGGTTCTCATTCTTCTTACTTACCGCGAGACAAACGAATCGTTGCGTGGTCCGAGTTGTCTGATTATTTATACATTTACATTAGCAATTTGCTATAAAAATATATTGGATATAATATGTATAGTCAGAGTGAGTTGGACATTTTTCTACATTTTTGCTTAGTTATAGTAGCAATTAGCTTGAATCGATCACCTATGAATTAGAACGAATTAACGGTTACATTCGTTGGGAGAATAGAAATTTCTTCTGCAACTTCTTGTATTGTTTTGAACTAAGTATCGTTTATTTATGAATATACAAAGTCAACTGACATTCAGGGATACATATCTTGTGATATAAAAGGACACTTAATCATATTTGTACAGAAAAAAGCTCAAATGTTATGTTGTTTCCTCAGCCGGAAGAAGAAAAAACCTTCGTCGACCTCTTCTCCGTCGCAGGATGTCAAAAAGGGTAAAACGGGAAAGAAAGATGGAGGGTTCGTGTGATGACGTCAAGTACTAAGACAACCACAAGCAGGGCTTTTAGCCGCGGCAAAGGCTGTCTTTGTGGTGACGGTGGCGGTTGTGGAGGTTGCGGTGGTTGTGGTGGTTAAAGATTTTTGGGTGTAATTATGTAATGGTATCACATTCGTCTGATATGATCGTAATGTTTGTATAAATGTAAGGTTTTCTGTTGCGTAGTCATCTTTTGTGTGAATGGAAATTGAATATATTTGATCTTTTGTATAATGAATCATATCGGTAAACATTTACTATTTGTTATTGTGAGATTTCAAGTTATTTTTACACTTCTTTTTCTTCTTCATACGCTCAACACTTAATCAAGATTTTGTGAATAACATGAAATTTTAAGAAAGAATTAAAAATATAGGACAAAAAAACACTACTATTGTCCCCTTAATACTTATATAAAATAATTTGTCCCCCTAAGACTTCTACAAATATTTTAACCTCTTTTACCATTTTAATTCAAATTTAACAATAAAAGTTAAATTCTTAAAAAAAAAAAATTACTCTTACAATGTAGAAGCCGCCTCCTACCACCCATCTCCTTCATCGTAAAAAAAAAAGTTCAGAGAACTTCTCATTCCTCCTTCACCGGAACTTCTTCTCTATCTCCGGTAAGTTCCGGCGAACAGCCGTCCTCCTCTAAGTTATGAAGAAAACGTGAAAGTTTGTAGGTTAGGAGGAGAAAAACGCTAAATTGAGGAGGGGAAGAAAAAAAATGGCGACAGAATTCTCTAAATTGAAAAAAAATATTTCAAAAATTAATTAGGAAATTAAATATTATGAAAAGGAAAGTAATATATTCTCCTAGATCTGCTCTTAAATTTTCGGAAATTCATTTAACTGAATTGTAGAATAGGTATTCTATAATTGTAGAATAAAGGGTTTCCGTAGAAATGAGATTCTACTAAGTTTGTAGAACAAAAAGTTTCCGTAGAAATCCAATTCTACTAAGATGTAGAACAAAGAGTGAACTATAGAAATATAATTCTACTAAACTGTAGAACAATGATAAATTTATAGAATACGGTTTCACAGCTTTGTAGAACATAGAAGAAATGTAGAAAACTAATTCTATATTTTTAATAGAAAACTAATGAAATAGTAGAAAGCCTATTCTATAATTTATAGATTTATAGAATGCATTTTCTACTAATTTGGAAAATATTTGTAAAACAAATGTTTAAATTTTTTTTTAAAAATATATTCTATTTCAGAAAGTATTCGTAATTTCCTTTTTGATTTTTCTAAAATTTTTTAGACTGTAAAACTATTTTTTTTTTAATTTTTGAAATCCTATAAAAGGGTATTTATGTCCAGAAGTAGCCAAATTTGAAAAAGTCTTAAAGGGACAATATTACAGATTTTTTGTCCTATAAATATAAACTACCAATATAAAGGTTTTCTGTTGCGTAGTCATCTTTTGTGTGAATGGAAATTGAATATATTTGATCTTTTGTATAATGAATCATATCGGTAAACATTTACTATTTGTTATTGTGAGATTTCAAGTTATTTTTACACTTCTTTTTCTTCTTCATACGCTCAACACTTAATCAAGATTTTGTGAATAACATGAAATTTTAAAAACTTACTTTCTATTAAAAAAAACTGTTAATTTTTCTTCTTCTAAATATCACTAAGATTGTAAAATTTTATTATGTTCTTTATCACGACAGTATTATTGTAGTATGTATACTAAAAGGTTTGCTATACTTTCCCAAACACACTTTCAATACCACTTGATCTGATAATTCGTATTCACTGTCTATCAATTTTTTGTTTTGGTGGTAATATTTCAGTTTTTATACCACTATCAAATTTAGGAACATACGCATGGCTTAGGACTTAAGAGTCTAAATTTCTGTCATACGTTTAATCATGATTTGGCAGTAGGGTAGCATACATTTTGCAACGGTTATCATTTATCCGTCGTGAGATTATGTGGATATTAGATGAAAATTTCCATTAAAAATTTGGATAATGTATAGAGTCTATGCAACATTACCAGCATGCATGACTAATGTGTATGGACTGGGTAAGTCACGGGCCATCTATTTTTCGTAATTTTATTGGAAAATCACACTTGGTCTTCGAATAAGCTCATCATCTATCTAATTTCTTAAAACTATTTCATTCAGAAAGAGAATGTGTATACATATCAAGTTTCGTTGTCGCACGTACACATATGGCATATCTAATAAATATTCAAACCATAAAATCTAAAATGTCTTTTTCCATGGAATTTCAACTTTTCAATCTTTTACTTGGGATCTTATAGTTAATCAACAAGAAAATGTAAAACGCGACAACATTTGACATTTCCATTGCAAGTGCATAGGTCATAAGCCCAACTCAATAGGAGAAATTGTCTTTCTCTGTGACCGGCACTATAATTGAGCTTTCATATAATTAGCAATAAGCTATAAATATTTTGGATAATATAGTCAAGAGAGTTATTCATTTTTTTCCTTTACATTTTTGCTTAGATCTATATTCGAATTTTCTTCTGCGATTTCTTTATTGTTTTTGTTTAAAATAAATTGGTTATGAACATGTCGTAAGTTATACATACAAAGTCAACGGAGATTTAGGGTATCTATCTGTGAAAGGACACTTATTCATATTTGTATCATCATAGATTCGTAGATGTTTCCAAAAAGGTCCAAAGAATTGAGTTTTGCAATATGGTGGTGATGTTTCGTATGCTGAAAATGTTAAACCGGGAAAGAAAGATGGAAGGGGTTTTTCCCTTTCGAAAAAAAGAGATGGAAGGTTTAGTGTGATGACGTCAGGCCCTAAGACCAAATGTTTATATTTTTTTTTTATCCGTAATTTCTCGGGAAAAGCTTGCTTGGTCTTCGAACAAACTCAATCATCTCGTTTCATTATATATATCAAGTGTAATTGTTGCACAAATGACATATCCAATGAATATTTAAATTCATAAATCTATATAAATGTTTTGTTTCCATGGAATGTCAACTATTCAGTCTATTAATTTGGATCTCATTTTAGATTTGACCTCATAATATATACACTTTCTTTAGTGAAAAGTTAATCAACAAGAAAAATTCCATTCATTTGATAGTTGATTGAAATTTCGACTGCAATTACTTGTGTACGTCGGAAAAATAAATAGGTTAATGTTGTAAGCTTATATTCAACGTGACCATTTCAATGGATACATATTTGGAGCTGCCTATAAATGAAAGGACAAGTTATCATATTTGTATCATTATACACTTTCAGAAGAACCTTTTTTGGCCATTATACTCTTTTGTAACTACGATCGCGATGGGTCTTCTCTTATGCTATTACTTGTGTCGCAAGGAGGAAGAGCTCACGTCATCACCACCGAGAGGTGACGTAAAAATGGGTGAAACGACTAGAACGAAAGATGGAAATCTTGTTGTCATGACGTCCTCGGGAAAGAGTAAGACCAGAGGCTGCAACAGAGGAGTTCGTGGTGGTCCTTTTGGTGGTTGTGCCGGCGGCGGCGGTTGTGGAGGGGGTTGTGGAGGTGGGTGCGGAGGTGGCGGTTGAAATATATTAGGGTTCTGTATAGTAATTGATGTAATCGAAATGATTCCTTGTGCATGTGATTTATTTATTTGTGCATGTAAGATTTGAATGTGTGATTCTCTAGTGTGAGAGTGGAAACTGAATTATGTATGTAATATATCTAGTTATATTTCATATGATGGATTATATTGCTAAACGTACAAACGATAACTGTATAAATGCTAGGGAGAATTGAAAAAAAAAGAACAATTTTACCATATGTTTGTAATTCTAAACCTTCTGATATTTCATTTGTATAGATGACTAAATTAGCTTTAGTTAAAGGGAGAATTTCAGATTTAACCCATATTTCAAAGTCAAACACAAAACTAACCTCTTTTTTTTTTTCTCTCCAACTTTTGTTATTTTCTCACAATTTTATCCTTTCCACTTAAACTATTATCGAAAATGCCATTATACATCTAATAAATCGATTTTTCTTTAATTGGCTAAAGTCTTCTTGGACCTTCTAAAGACTTTTTAATTACGAGAATGCCATCGTCTTCAATACCTTCAACCACCATGAACAACCATGAAAATGAGATAAATGCATTGCTTCGCGCCATCCTTTTGCGGTGAATTCTGGTTTACTCGACACCTGGGTTGTTTAATTTCAGTGAAATCTTAAGTTCTGGGTAGATAAGAGAAACTTAGGGGACCTCAATTTTGTCAAAGGTAATCCTCGCACTTCAATTTCTCCACATTTCAGTTTTTATATCGCGAAAGTAGACTTCTCGTGAACTATAGTTAAGTCTATGAGTCAACATAAGGTTATTTTTGCAATTGACTTTTAAAAAGTAGACTTATTTAAACCTCACCAGAAGTCTACTCGATATCCTTTGAAAACAAAAAAAATCATAGTAGACTTCATCTGACGACTTAAGAAGTCTACGAAAGAAAAGAGGTTATTTTTGTAGTTGACCGTATTTTGACTTCTTAATGTAGACTTCTAACTGAAGTCTACTGTCTACGTCTGCACACGAAGTCTACATTTAGGTTACTTTTGTAGTTTGACCAAAAACGTATAGGTCATTTTTGTGTTTGACTTATGTTTTTCAAAAATTAAAAAATTAAAAAAATTTCAAAAAGCTTCAGTAGACTTCACAAAGAAGTCGACAAACAGTAGACTTCTCTGTGAAGTCTACTTATTGTGTTCGGTCAAACTTAGAAGGAATATTTTTTGAGTAGACTTCATTGTGAAGTCTACTAAAAAAATTCAATTGCAAAAATAACCTATTTTGTTCCGTAGACTTCTATTTATAAAGTAGACTTCAAACGTAGACTGCCAGAGAAGTCTACTCTTACATGAAGTCTACAATAGAAGTCTACTGTGTTAGTCAACGCGGTGGTCAAATGCAAAAGTAACCTTTTTTGCCTGAAGTCTACAACTGAAGTCTACTGAAGGAAAAGTCAACGGAATGGTCAATTGCAAAAATAACCTTTTTTTTAGTAGACTTCAGTAGTAGACTTCTCAATGAAAAAGTAGACTTCTCCTCCAGTCTACATTCGAAGTCTAAATAAGAAGTCTACTTTCCTATGTTTTTTAAAAAACGCGTTTTAAGCAAATGTATAAAATATTTTTCAAACTTTTTGGTTCAGAATTGCCTCTTATTAGGTGATTGGGCTACCCATTGAATTTTATCTCATTTCATTGGATATTCATGGTGGAATCAGAAGTTTCAATTTTTAAGATACTTAGCTTATAAAAGTAGACTTCGTAGTGAAGTCTACGTTTTAAGTCTGCAATAGAAGTCCACGTTTAGACGTTTTTGTAAAAACGCCATTTAAGCAAATCTACGAAAAAAATTTCAAATTTTTTTGTTTACAATTGTTTATTAATAAGTGATTGAACTACCTAGGGTTTATTATTCCGTTTCATTGAATATTTCTTGTTGAATCAGAATTTTCGATTTTTAAGGTACTCAGCTTATCAAAGTAGACTTCATCGCGAAGTCTACTTTGATACAAAAAGTCTCTATGCAGTGTTTGCTAACACGGTTTATATGGTTATTTTTCAGAGGATGGCTCAAATTCCAGTTGTGTACGGTAAGTGGAAGTTTACGGAGAATTCATGGCATTTTGTTGTTGACATTGGCAAAGGTGGAAGAATGTGGTTTTTGAACGATGGTTGCACCTTTGGGCAGCTTACTGAAATGGCGTGAAATGATTATAACTTGGGCAAGAGGACTGAGATCATCGAGTTAACCTACGCACTACCAGTCTCAATGTTGCAAAATATGGCTCCAGATACACCTCCAATGCATGTCACCAATGATAGACAAGTTTCAAGCTTGATTGCGTTAAGCAGAGTACATTTGTTACGCCTTTGTGTGTCCTGTCGAGTGGAGATGGATACTGAGGAGAACCAGGAACGATCAGATGAAGAGTTTGGTGAAGATGTTGAGGAAAATTCAGAAGATTCAACCGATGATGAGGCAGACAGTTCTGATGTGAACGACGATGGAGAAGATGTCGACGATGGAGAAGATGTCGACGATGCAACTTACTCTGACGGAGAAGATTACAGTGTCTACGGAAAAGTGAAAATGAAGATGATGATGAAGATGAAGTCTGTATTGAAAAGGTCAGAACCCGATATGGTGAAACAGGGAGCACGCCCATGTCATGGTCTGATAATATATATGTTGGGGCAAGTTTCCCTACAAAAGAGAAGCTGTTATCAGAGGTTAGACTGACAGCCATAATGTTAAAATTTGCTTTTAAAACACAAAAGTCTACAAAGAACCTGTTTGTGGCTAAATGTCGAGTGGAAGGATGTGCATGGATGGTTAGAGCGAGCGTGAAGAATGATGCATCCACTTTTTGGGTGACAAAATATGTGAAAGACCACACATGTTCAGTAGCCCATCGAATGGCTCACCGTGGGAAGTCTACTCCTAAGTATATTGGCCAGCTGTTTATAAGCTATTTCGGCATAATTGATGGACTTACACCAGAACATGTCAGGGTTTCAATGAAGCATATGTTTGGCATCAGGATGGATTACACTACCTCTTACAGATCTTTGATATATGCCCAACAATTGGTCAGAGGAACAGCTGAAGATGGATATGCGAGTCTCTCAGCTTACCTACATTCAGTGAACAAAGCCAATCCGGGAACTGTATCAGCTCTTCATGTAGATTCGAATAACAAATTCAAATATCTATTTCTCGCATTTGGAGCATCGATTGCTGGTTTTCAATACATGAGAAAAGTTATTGTGGTTGATGGCTGTCATCTAACAGGGAAATACGAGGGTACTTTGTTGGTTGCCACCGCACAAGATGGAAACTTTCAGATTTTTCCTTTGGCCTTTGGAATTGTTGATGGTGAAGATGATGCTTCATGGGAATGGTTTTTTTCTAAACTGCGTGAATGTGTCTCAGATGGTTATCCTTTAGTGATAGTTTCTGACAGACATAATTCTATTAAGAAAGCTTGTGCAACTATTTTCCCATGGGCAAAACGAGGGATCTGCTACTACCATCTACAACATAACATAGTAACAAAGTTTAGGGGGAAGCAGCTGTTGTACTTGGTTAAACGTGTGGCTTATGCTTACAACCTCTATGACTACAACCGGTACATGGCGGAGTTGAGACAGATCAAGCCTGACCTTGCTGACTATTTGGAAGAAGCCGATGTCTCTCTTTGGTCCCGAGTTCACTTTGTTGGAGACAGATACAATATTAAGACTAGCAATGTCGCAGAGTCTATAAATGTTGCACTTAAGAAGGCCCGAGGATATCCCATTTCATTCCTCTTGGATTTCATACGAGAGAAGCTTGGTCGGTGGTTTTTAAAACGCAGAGAGGATGCTTTGAGTCTCACAACACATAATACTCGGGGAGTGGAGTATTTGCTGGCGATTTGTGGACATTATGCAGATGCAATGGAGGTGGACCGAATTGACACTTGGAGATACTATGTGAAAGGAGGAACCAGGAATTGTATTGTTGATTTGGAACATGGAATGTGTGAATGTGGTGTGTTTTACATCGAGAAGATCCCATGTTCACATGCTATTGCAGCTGCATTAGCCGGTGGGATAACTGTGGATTCTCTTGTATGTCCGACTTACTAAAAAAACTATTTGTTTGCAGCATACTCTGCCAACATATATCCCCAAATTTCAGAGGTCCAAGAAGGTCCAACATCAATATGTCTGCCACCAGACATTCGCCGTGCACCAGGCAGACGGAAGAAGTCTCGGTGGCAATCATGGCTAGAAATTGCTAGGAGGAAAAGCAAGAAGCCAAGGAAGCTGCACAAAGTATACAGCTGCTCCCAATGCAAGCAACCTGGTCATACCCAACCGAATTGTGTAAGTTGAGCTAAACTCATCTAACAATGTTGCAATTTTTATTTAATATACTTAGCCGTCGCTAATCGCAGCCAGGGAAATAACAAGAAGGCTCCGGAATAGGAAGACAAAGCATCCATTGTTCTCAAAGAAGTCTGCTTTGGAAGTCAACTTTAGAAGTCTATTTGGGAAGTCTACTGTCGAAGTCTACTGTTTATGTGTGATAATTAGTTCCACCGGTCATGTTTGAAACGACTTCATATATGTAACTGTTTTAACGACTTTAACGGTGCATATAACCGTTGTACCTGTTTGTGTTCTGTTTTTTTGCTTATAAATTATCGGGTTTAGACGAATTATAGTCTCATTCCAGACCCTTTGAAGATGTCGAACCCGATAAACTTTAACTCTCTCCCCTCCGACATTCTGTGGGATATCCTCCTAAAAATCACTTCTCGTTCCTACCGTGGGCTCTGCATAGCAAGGGTTTTCTCCAAACATCTAAACGACATTTCTAATGAAGAGGGCTTTTTACGAGCCGTAGATCTAATAACTCTGACGATTCCATGGGTCTGGGATCAACATGGGAGGGTTGACGCTTTCTTTCGGCGCTGTTTGGAGTGTAGAAATCCCACAGCGCAATACCTACGAGCCGTTTCTCTAATCTTCTATGAAGATAACATCCAAGAAGGATTTGACTTGCTAAAGGTGTCATCAAATGGAGGATGCCTCATGGCTACTTACACCATGGTTATGTTCTCTTTAACCATGGATGGTAGCCATGATGTATTTAACCATATTCGTGGTATAGCTCCGGCAGATGCAACGAAGATGAGGAAAACTATGCAGCATATTAACAGATGCCCGACCACTTATAAGAAGCCTGACGTGTTTCACGAACCGGTCTTCCATATTTTTGATAAGGCACAATCAAGGAGTTGTGCTTGTATGGATCTGCCAAACCAGCACTGGATGGATGATGAAAGCCTCGTGGACTCATATGGTGACAAACTCTGCAGTCCTTGCTTCTGGAAGATGGAATGTGCCATATTCTGGAAAACAATCCCTGGATTTGCAAATGAATGGCCGCAGTAAAATTAGTTGACTCCATGTTTTATGTTTTTTGGTTTTAGTTTAATGTTTAGTAACTGAGTTACGAATTCAAACCATTCAAACACCAAAAAAAAGAGATTTTGCCCAAAAATATCGGAAACAGTATTCACCTACAACATAACTTAATAACATCAAAGTTAACGATTACAAAAATATAATAGCAGACTACTAGTAATCCATTACAACATAGTCGTCTAACGATTGAAAACATCATTTGCCAGCTGGTAGTAAACATACAGGTAGCAATGCTCACAGATCATTTGATGCTTGAATCCGCATATGGGGATTTCGGAAAACGGATTGGGAAACATCTCATGCACCGTCGGCTCTTTGCAAGCTTCGATCAAATCCATCACTTGATTTGCAATCCCTTCCATGTACTCCATTCGTGACTTCCAACCAGCTATACGGTCAAGGATTACCAGTCCTCTCTCATATAGACCGTATGCAGAGCCGCAAATTGCGAGCATTAAAGTCGCAGTATCGACTCCAGCATTTGACGATTTGCTTAAAAACGTAACGGCACCCTCAATATCGTTATCAACCGTATTCTTGATCATGCCGCGGAGGTACAATGATGTTGGATTACCGGCACTAATCGCTGCCTCAATGAGCATAGGGTACTGCTTCATCAAACTGGGTTTTTGGACGAAGGCACTAAGGTTGATAACCCTAATGACAGATGGATCCTTGAAAGTTTCGTTGAGGAACTTACATGAACAAGCAAACGAGCAAGCGTTTTTTGCAGACTCCCTTGCAACTCTTTCCAAAATATCAACCAGTGCATCGCGGATCTGAGGAAACAATTCATTTGCAAATGCCGACGAGATAACCTCAGCATAATAGCCGATGCTTTTATCCGGGGCTGGCTCAAACCCTTTGGTGTAAAGTCTTCTGGGGAATTCAGAAGCCACCATTATCTAACAAAGATTCCTGCATCAACGGTAACAAAGCTCTAATGAGAAAAACTAGTAACAGTTTTAAACTATACACGAATGAAGTCTACTTTATCAAAATGAAGTCTACTTTATCAAAATGAAGTCTACTTTCCCAAAATGAAGTCTACTTTCAAAAAAAGAAGTCTACTTTCCCAAAATGAAGTCTACTTTCACAAAATGAAGTCTACTTTCACAAAATGAAGTCTACATTATAACAATGAAGTCTAATTTTCAAAATGAAGTCTACTTTCCCAAAACGAAGTCTACTTTCAAAAAAAGAAGTCTACTTTCACAAAACGAAGTCTACTTTCACAAAATGAAGTCTACTTTCACAAAATGAAGTCTACTTTCACATTCTAAGTACAATCCGAGTCGCGAAGTCTACTGAAGCCAACGGAAGCAATCTTAACATAAAAAACAGTATATGAAGCAATCAAAACATCATAAATACTACATATGAAGTCTACAGAACCCAACCGAAGCAATCAATACATGATAAATACTGTATATGAAGTCTACTAAAATAAATCATCGAAATGGCTACAAAGTTTATAGTGTTACCGCCTTTATTAGATGAAGCTGGCGTCGAGAACCTAAGTCAAACCCGACGGAAAAAATTATAGGAAGATAGAAGAAATTTAAGAATTGCTAAGTATATAACTTTGGAACAACATCTACTAACCGTTTTGAGGCAGGAAATGACGTTAACCTCCAACGGCGAAAGCAGATCTGCAAAAAAAAAAAAAACCCTAATTTCAGATCTGGAAACTGGGGATTTCGAAAACGGAACGGTGATGAATACAGAGGAGTAGGGAAGCATGGGGGTGTGGTTGGAGAAAGAAAACTTGCCTGAACGAGTTTATCGGCGGCGGTTCTGTATATCGGTGGCGCCGGAGCAGAGAAACAGAATTCGCCTTCGACCTTTTTTTTTTACACGAAGTCTCGACGGTTTTTTTTTAATGGGATCTGTAAAATTCGTATATATAGTCTGGTAATTCCGTACGGTTCGGGTAAGTTTTTTCCGGTTAAAGTTGCTAATTTTCCGGGGTCTAGGTTAATTTACCCGGTTAAGGGCAGTTTCTCTTGGTTAAGGGAAGTTATTCCCAGTTTAATCTCGGTTAAATGTCCGCTAGGTTAATTTTTACGGTTTAGTAGACTTCAATATCGAAGTCTACAACTTTTAAAATCTAAATAATAAATTTACTTCTACTTAATTTAAAAATATACATTTCCATTTACCAATGTGAAAAAATAATTTTTTTGCATTTGGGTTATGATTACGGAATTTATGATGGTAAATTTCATACCAAAATAATTTTTTATAAATTTTTAAATTAAATTTACAGATTTAATTACTTAGTAGACTTCATTTTATCAAATGAAGTCTACTAGTAGACTTCAGTTTTACTTTAGTAGACTTCGTCAGGGAGAAAACGGTAATTAGGACATCCGTTTTTTGTTTACACATACATGATTAAATGGTCTTTTCACTACCCTTGTAGGTTATATCTGTCAAATGTTTTTCAGGGGTATACTTTTGTATTCAAAATCAAGTTTTGGGTTATTTTTAGCAAAAACCCCTTAGTTAAATCTTTTAAATATCTAATAAACTTTAAATAAATCGTGTTTCCCAAAAAAATGTAAATGCATGTTAATTCCTTTGTTGACAACATAATTTGTCTTTATATTCTACTTACAAATTTTACCATAAGTAAAGGTCGTAAAGATTGAATGAAATATATTTTGTCTAATGTATTTCGTTAAGACTGAGTTTTAGCTCTCTACACATAATAAAGCATCCAAATGACCAATTAAACGTACCGGTTCAATTAATTTCTACAGTAAGAGTAAATTTGCAAATATAATGTATGTATACACAAAATTTAACCATAACAACAATCTAACGTAAAAACAAAACTTTTTTGTCACAACGTAAAAAATTGATGTAATCGAAATGATTCCTAGTGCATGTTATTTATTTATTTGTGCATGTAAGATTTGAATGTGGTAGTATATGGATCATAGCTTTGAGGTGATTGTTAGCTTAATAATAGCCTCTGAGGTTTTTGTTCTTTCATTGTGAACTTAGTCTTTCAGTTAATGGAACGACGGAAAAAGTATTTTTGTTTTTGTTGTTGTTTGACTTTGCATGAAAATGGATGTTGAGTCTCTAAGTTTTATCTGTCTCTAGATTAAGTGTGAGCTAGAATATCTGATGCCGGCCTTTGGTTCGAATCCTTACATTGATAAGAAGCCACCAATGTCTATGCGCGAGTGCCTTGAAAAGGTGAAGCCTTTTTTTAAGGTTTGATCACTTTAACCAAACACCACTCTCTTTTGTTGGATGTGATCAAATCTTCATCATGTTTTATTATTTTATAAGAGTCATATATTATATAATTAAGTAACTGTTTATGTCAGTGCGAATAGATTTGGTAACTGTAAAACAGTTACACATGTATGTATGTGTCTTTACAATAAGGTGTCTTCTAGAGACATGTCCTTTGGTCAATATGTGTCTTTACAATGGGGTGTCTTCTAGAGACATGTCCTTTGGTGAAAATGTGTCATGTAACTATAAATACTAGTTGTTTATCTAATAAAATTGTGTGGTTTTCATTTACAAAGAATCAAGTAAAACATTGAGTGTTAATTAAGAAAGAGAGAGATAAAAAAAAATAGAGTAAAATCTGTGTTGTACGATTCTTAGCCATGTAGACAACTATGCAGCAAGTTATCCCAATCTTCAATGATGAATCATACGGTTTTTGGAAAATCAAAATGGTTACAATCTTGAAGACACAGAAGTTGTGGGAGATTATCGAAAACGGAATCACAGCGAATCCATCTTCTGAAAGCACACTGGAATTGATCAAAGAGATAGAAGATCTACTGATGAAAGACATGTTGGCTCTCCAAATCCTTCAAAGTGCAGTTTCAGAATCCATATTTCCGAGAATTGCTCCCGCATTGACCGCAAGAGAGGCTTGGAACGCTTTGGAAATGGAGTTCCAAGGAAGTTCACAAGTAAAGATGATTAATCTTCAGACCTTAAGAAGAGACTATGAGAATCTGAAGATGGAAGAAGGTGAAACCATAAATGATTTCACAACTAAGTTGATTAATCTGAGCAATCAACTAAGAGTTCATGGAGAAGAGAAGTCCGATTACCAAGTGGTTCAAAAGATTTTAATCTCCGTACCACAACAATTCGACAATATTGTTGGGGTACTTGAACAAACAAAAGACCTATCAACTCTTTCTGTCACAGAATTGATAGGAACATTGAAGGCGCATGAGAGGCGTTTAAATCTCCTAGAAGATCGTATCAATGAGGGTGTGTTTTATGGAGAAAAGCTTGGCTCAAGAGGAGGAAACAAGCAAAACAAAATTCGCCATGGGAAGACCAACATGTGGTGTGGCGTGTGTAAGAAGAACAATCACAATGAGGTAGATTGTTTCAGAAAGAAGAGTAAAAGCGTTTCACAAAGAGGTGCAAACGATGAAAGAAGATGCTATGTGTGCGACAAGCCAGGACACATAGCCAGAGATTGCAAACTTAGAAAATGTGAAAGAGCACATCTAAGTATTGAAGAATCAGAAGATGAAGATGAAGATGAGTGTCATATGCTATTTAGTGCTGTTGAAGAAAAAGAGATCTCAACAATTGGAGAAGAAACATGGTTGGTAGATAGCAGATGCACCAATCACATGTCTAAATATGTTAGACACTTCATCACTTTGGATCGCAGCAAGAAAATTTTCATAAGGATTGGTAACGGTGGAAAGGTTGTGTCCGAAGGCAAAGGAGATATAAGAGTATCCACAAACAAAGGAGATCATGTCATCAAAGATGTTCTTTATGTACCCGAACTAGCAAAAAATTTGCTTAGTGTCTCTCAAATGATATCCAACGGATATCGAGTCATCTTTGAAGACAACAAATGTGTGATTCAAGATTTAAAAAGAAGGAAGATCTTGGAAATCAAGATGAAGGACAGAAGTTTTCCAATTCGTTGGAAAAAATCAAGAGAAGAAGCGTATGTGGCTTTCGAAGAAAAAGAAGAACAAACAAATCTTTAGCACAAGCGTTTTGGTCATGTGAATTATGACAAGGTGAAGACAATGCAAACGCTAAAGATTGTAGAAGATCTTCCAAATTTTGAAGTAATAAAAAGGATATGTGAGGCTTGTGAGATGGAAAAAAAATCAAGGAGGAGTTTTCCAAAGTCTCAAAGCAACACAAACAAAACTTTGGAGCTTATTCATTCAGACGTGTGTGGTCCAATGCAAACGGAGTCAATAAATGGGAGCAAGTACTTCGTCACGTTTATTGATGATTTCTCAAGGATGACTTGGGTGTATTTTTTTAAGAATAAAAGTGAAGTGATCACAAAATTCAAGATATTCAAGCCTTATGTGGAGAACCAATCGGATCAAAAGGCTTATAACAGATGGAGGTGGTGAATTTCTATCAAGAGAATTCATCAAACTATGTCAAGAGAGTGGCATACATCATGAGATAACAACTCCCTACTCTCCACAACAAAACAGTGTTGCGGAAAGGAGAAACAGAACACTTGTAGAGATGGCAAGATTAATGATCAAAGAGAAGAACTTATCTAACAAGTTTTGGGCTGAAGTTATTACAACATCAACATACTTGCAAAACAGATTGCCATCTAAGTCATTCGAGAAAGGAGTTACACCAATTGAGATATGGAGCGAAAAGAAACTAAGTGTTGATCACTTGAATTTTTTTGGGTGTGTATGTTACATACACATACCGGATGAGAAGAGAAGAAAGCTTGACACTAAAACCAAAAAAGGGATATTCGTAGGCTACAGAAACAAATCAAAAGGATATAGAGTGTTTTTGCTAAATGAAGAAAAAATCAAAGTGTCAAAAGATGTGACATTCGATGAGAAGAAAAAATGGAGCCATGATGAAAAAAGAGAAAGAAAAGTGATTATATCACAAGTCAAGATCAACTCACAAGAACAAGGAGGAGAAAATGATCTAAACTCTCAAATAGATCAAGTAAGTAATGCATTTAATCAACTTCAAATTTCAAATAGAGGAGTTCAAAACTCAAATGAAGAAGGAGAAAAATCTGTTGGTCCAAGAGGTTTCTGATCTATCAATGATCTTATGGACCAAACAAATGAAGTTGAAGGATAAGCACTTATACATGAGATGTGTCTTATGATGGCCGAAAAACCTCATGCTTTGGAGGAAGCAATGAAGAACTAGGTGTAGTGATGAAGCCATGATCAAAGAGAAGTGTTGGATGTGATCAAGTCTTCATCATGTTTTATTATTTTATAAGAGTCATATATTATATAATTAAATAAATGTTTTATGTCAGTGCGAATAGATTTGGTAACTGCTTAATTTTCTTGAAAGAGGAATTAAGATGGAAGAGGAAGAGGAAGAGGAGCAAGAGGGAGAGGGAGAGGAAGAGGTGGTGAAGGATGGAGAGATGATAAGATGGAAGAGGAAGCTGAACAAGAGGCTATCAGTACATTCGTTGGTGATTCTGCCGATGGAGAGAAATTTGCTAGCAAAATGGGACCTGAGATTATGAAAAAGCTAGCAGAAGGTTATGAAGATATATGCGAGAGGGCTTTGCCGTCTACTGCTAATGATGCTGTTTTGGATGCTTATGAAACCAAACTCATGGTAAAGTTTCTCTGGCTTTTTTTTTCTCTCTAGTGATTGCATTGAAAAGCTTACAACTTGATGCAGAGAATGCTGACACTGAAACTTCAAGTAGTATTTGGAATAGTGAATTCACGAGAAAGCAATGTCACTGATATATTAATTCATCCGCTATAATGTGGTAGTATATGGATCATAGCTTGTGGTGGCTTTGAGGTGATTGTTAACTTGTTAGGCCTGTTTGATTCTCAGACTGATAACAGCCTCTGAGTTTTTTGTTCTTTCATTGTGAACTTTTCAGATAATGGAACGATGGAAAAAGTGTTTTTGTTTTTGTTGTTGTTTGGCTTTGCATGAAAATGGATGTTGAGTCTCTAGGTTTTCTCTGTCTCTAGATTGAGTGTGAGCCAGAATATCTGATGCCGGCCTTTGGTTCGAATCCTGACATTGATGAGAAGCCACCAATGTCTCTGCGCGAGTACCTTGAGAAGGTGAAGTGATGCAGAGCATCCTTAACTATTCTAGAAGGTTCACGTCTTTTAGGTGTTGGTGTTTACGTGTTCTTCAAATTAAGTGTTTTTCCTTTTCGTTTCTTTCTCTTTTGCAGTTTTCCTTTTAAATTCTCACGACTTCTTATAGCTTTAGGATTGTGTTAGGAGCTATATAAAGGAGTCGAAGCTTTGTTTTCTTCTCATCTTTGCTTTTGAAAACTAATAAAAAAAACCAAAAAGAGGAAGTCTTAACTTCCCAAAGAGCTTGTGTTTGCACAGCACTGAGAGGAGTACTCTCAACCTAATTAATTCAGTTGATTTCTTGATCTTCTTAATTAAGAACCAAGTTCGTTTCAAGTTCTCTCAGAGTTATCGAAGCTTACTTGTCTAAAACGCTTGCGCGACTCCATCAGTTGGTATCAGATTACAGGACGTTTCTGGTTTGATTCATCATGCCTCCAAAGAAAGATACACCGGAAGAAATCTCCATGGCAGACCTGCAGCGTACGATACTAGCTATGCACGAAAATCTGCAGAACACGTTTCAGCAGACAATACAAACCCTAGGCGAAACTTTGGCTCAAAATCAGCAAACCTTGATCGCAGCAATGACCACTAATAACAGAGCTGTTGTTGCCGACAATAACAATAATCAAGACGGCGATGGTGGCAACAACCGTAACCTACAACAACGACAACACGAAGGAAGAAATAATCAACAAAACAACCCTCTTGGTGATCGTCGTTGGGAATCCGGGTTGAAAGTGGATATTCCAGAATTTCAAGGCAGCGTTCGTGGAGAAGACTTGTTAGATTGGCTCATCACTGTCGAAGAGGTGCTGGAGTTCAAACAGGTACCACCTGATCGTCAAGTTCCACTTGTTGCGACAAGATTTCGTGGAAGAGCAGCCACTTGGTGGTTACAACTCAAATCAACTCGAGCTCGCACCGGAAAATCTCGTATCACAACGTGGGAAAAAATAAAAAAACACTTGCGTGGACAGTTCCTCCCACTAAACCACGACCGTACCATGTTCACTAGACTGCAAAATCTGCGACAAGGATCACGAACTGTGGATGAATACGCTGAGGAATTCTACCTTCTACTCACAAGAAACGAGCTCAACGATACACAGATTCAGCTGGTCTCTCGGTTTATTGGTGGGTTACGACCTCAGTTACAAAATTCATTGACACAATTTGATCCGTCTACAGTGGCTGAAGCACATCGGAGAGCTCTTGCTTTCGAAACACAGTCCAAAGCTGGCTCGTCTTGGACTAATTCTGGAAATTGGCGACCTCGTCTTACAGGTACTGATACGGAAAACAGTTCTCACGATAGTCCGGAAGTGTCAAAATCTCAGACAGCACCTCGCAACTCCACCACCCTTGATGAGTCTACCCTTCGTCGCTCCACGCGACCGCCGGCTCTTAAGTGTTATAGTTGTGGTGAACCAGGTCACCGACAGACAGCTTGTCCAAATCAGCAACGACGTGGTTTGCTCTTAGAAGACACCGAAGGAGTGTATAATTCAGCTGATGAGGAGGATACGGGAATATATGAGGAGACCCTCACAAGTGGTGATTCTAACGCCCCTGTTTTAATGCTGCGAAGAATTTGCTTAGCTCCTGTTGGGTATGAAGAACCGTGGTTGAGAACTAATATTTTTCGGTCCACTTGCACAATTAAAGGAAAGTTATGCAATTTAGTCATTGACTCCGGAAGTAGCAGGAATGTCGTCTCTGAAACAGCAGTAAAAAAGCTCGGGTTAAAAAGAGAAGATCATCCCGCTCCATATGCTCTAGCGTGGATCACAGAAGGGACAGACGTTAAAATAACACACCGGGCTCTAGTGTCTTTTTCCATTGGCGCATTTTACAAGGATACCATCTACTGTGACATCGCACCTATGGACGTTAGTCATCTGATTTTGGGTCGTCCGTGGCAATTTGATCGGGACACATGCCACAACGGGAAAAAGAACACTTATAGCTTCGTCTTTGAAAACAGAAAGATCGTTCTTCTTCCAAATCCAGAACCAGCATCACTCCCTCTGGCAACAAATAAAGTGGACATTCAACTCCCTGTCATGAAAGATCTCGGTTCTAAACATACACTCCTTTGTTCTCGAGTGCAATTTGAAACAGAACTCCGGGATTCAGGATTTATGTTAGCCTAACTTCCATCGGCTTCCACTGGATCTGGCCAAACATCATCACCTCCTATTGCATTCTCCACATTATTACATGAATTTGATGATGTTTTTTCGGATGATCTCCCTTTGAGCTTGCCCCCTTTACGAGATATTCAACACCAGATCGATCTCGTTCCAGGTGCCACACTTCCGAATCGACCTCATTATCGTATGAGTCCACAGGAACATGAAGAGTTACGTCGTCAAGTTGAAAGTTTACTCGTTAAAGGTCATATTCGGGAAAGTCTGAGTCCATGTGCTGTTCCGGCGTTATTGATTCCCAAGAAAGATGGGTCTTGGAGGATGTGCGTTGACAGCCGTGCTATTAACAAAATTACAGTTCGTTATCGATTTCCTATCCCTCGGCTCGATGACTTACTTGATCAAATTGGAACGGAAAAAATTTTCTCTAAACTCGATCTCAAGAGTGGATATCACCAAATTCGTATCAAACCTGGAGATGAGTGGAAGACAGCTTTTAAAACTCGCGAAGGGTTGTTTGAATGGCTTGTCATGCCCTTTGGATTGTCTAACGCCCCTAGTACTTTCATGCGTGTCATGAATCAGGCTCTGCGACCGTTTATCGGAAAATTTGTTGTCGTCTACTTTGACGATATCCTGATTTTCAGTACAACATTAGAGGATCATCTTCAACATCTACGGAGCGTCTTGGAAATTTTACGGCGAGACAAGTTTTTTGTTGCAAAACAAAAATGCGAGTTTGGTACTGATCACGTCCTTTTCTTGGGATATGTGGTATCACAGGATGGTTTATCGGTTGATAAGAGCAAAGTCGAAGCTGTTCGTTCGTGGCCTGAGCCCCGCTCTTTAACCGAAGTTCGCAGTTTTCATGGGCTTGCTTCGTTTTATCGTCGTTTTGTCCCTCACTTCAGTACCATTATGGCGCCCATTACAGACTGTATGAAGGCGGGGAAATTCAGCTGGTCTCCTGAAGCTTCATGCGCATTTGAGGATATCAAGCACAAACTCACTTCTGCGCCAATTTTGGTTTTACCTGACTTTACGCAAGCATTTGAACTCCACAGCGATGCCTCTAAATTAGGAATTGGAGCTGTCTTAAGTCAACAGGGACGTCCAATTGCGTACTATAGTGAAAAACTATCAGGGGCTCGAGTTCGTTATAATACTTATGATATTGAGTTTTACGCAGTTGTTCAAGCCATAAAGCATTGGAGACATTATCTGTTTCAGAAGGAATTCATTTTGTTCACAGACCATGATGCCCTTAAACACCTGGATAGCCAAGCCAAAGTCTCTTCTCGTCATGCAACTTGGATTGCCTTTTTACAGCAATTCACATTCACAATTCGCCACCAGGCTGGAAAACTCAACCGAGTCGCTGATGCATTGAGTCGTCGTCATAACTTGGTATCTATAATGCATGCTTCGGTTACAGGCTTTGCGACGTTTTCGGATCTGTACTGCTCGGATCCATATTTTGCTCGGGTTTTGGGTGACGTCACTACAGGAACATCTCCAGAGTTTACTCTTCATGAGGGATTTCTTTTCAAAGGAAATCAGTTATGCATTCCTGATTATAGTTTACGACTTCAAATTATTAAATAATTGCATAATGAGGGACATGTAGGGAGAGATCGCACTTTGCAACTCGTGACTGAATCTTATTTTTGGCCCTCTTTACGTCGAGATGTCATCCGGTTCGTCGAACGTTGTCGCACTTGTCAACAAGCCAAGGGTTCAGCCTCTAATGCTGGTTTATATTTACCACTTCCGGTGCCTACGCAGCCTTGGACAGACATTAGCATGGATTTCGTGCTTGGTCTTCCTCGTACACAGAAAGGCAATGATTCCATCTTTGTCGTTGTTGACAGGTTTTCCAAAATGGCCCATTTTATTCCTTGTAAGCGTACTACGGATGCAGTTCGGGTGGCGTCGTTATTTTTTCAAGACATATACCGTCTTCATGGTTTTCCTACTTCTATTGTCTCTGATCGGGATACTCGATTCCTGAGTCATTTTTGGCGATCGGTTTGGAAGCTTCTTCGCACTAGTCTTGATATGAGTACGGCATACCATCCTCAATCCGATGGTCAAACTGAAGTCACTAATCGCGCGTTGGGGAATATGCTTCGAAGTTTAGTTGGCGATAACCTTAAATCTTGGGATTCAAAACTCTGTATCGCTGAATTTGCGCATAATCATGCTCAAAATCGCAGTGTGGGTTTTTGTCCTTTCAAAGTGGTTTATGGTATAACTCCGCGTTGTCCTTTGGATCTCGCACCACTTCCTGATAAGGTCCGTCTTCATGGACAAGCAGCTGATTTTGTTGACAATGTACTCAATGTTCATCGTCAAGCTACAGAGAATCTTCAGCCCTCTACAGCCGCTTATAAAGAACGGGCAGATAAACATCGCCGAGCTGTTGAATATCAGCCAGGGGACTTGGTTTGGGTGGTTCTAACGAAGGAGCGGTTGCCAGCAAGCGACTATAACAAACTTAGTTCCCGAAAGATAGGACCCATTGAGGTATTGGAGCGCATCAATGCAAATGCTTATCGTGTATGTTTGCCGTCGGACCTCCGTACAGCCAATGTTTTCAACGTCAAGCATCTCTATCCTTATCGCGGCGACAATGATGATCCAGATTCAGGGACGAATCTTCTTCTACCCCGGGGGACCTGATGCAGAGCATCCTTAACTATTCTAGAAGGTTCACGTCTTTTAGGTGTTGGTGTTTACGTGTTCTTCAAATTAAGTGTTTTTCCTTTTCGTTTCTTTCCCTTTTGCAGTTTTCCTTTTAAATTCTCACGACTTCTTATAGCTTTAGGATTGTGTTAGGAGCTATATAAAGGAGTCGAAGCTTTGTTTTCTTCTCATCTTTGCTTTTGAAAACTAATAAAAAAAACCAAAAAGAGGAAGTCTTAACTTCCCAAAGAGCTTGTGTTTGCACAGCACTGAGAGGAGTACTCTCAACCTAATTAATTCAGTTGATTTCTTGATCTTCTAAATTAAGAACCAAATTCGTTTCAAGTTCTCTCAGAGTTATCGAAGCTTACTTGTCTAAAACGCTTGCGCGACTCCATCATGAAGCCTTTTATAGTGGCTTACGAGGGTATCAAGGATCAAGAAGAATGGGAGGTAAGCATGTTCAATTTGTGATATCTGCTTTTTATGGGTCCATGCAATATTGTTTTCCCTGTTTGACCACTTTGATATTTTCACTTTTTGCAGGAAGCAATTGATGAAGTGATGGCGCAAGCTCCCCTTATTAAAGAGATCGTTGATCACTACAGTGGTCCTGATCGAGTAACTGCTAAGAAACAGAACGAGGAGCTGGATAGAATTGCCACAACAGTTCCCAAAAGTGCACCTGATTCTGTGAAACGATTTGCAGATCGTGCTGCTCTTAGTCTTAAGGTGTGATCACTTTAACCAAACATCACTCTCTTTTATCAGATTGATCTTTAGAGGTATTGATGTTTTTTTCTGAAACTTGGGCAATGCAGAGTAATCCTGGTTGGGGATTTGATAAGAAATACCAGTTCATGGAGAAGCTCGTAGCAGAGGTGTCGCAGAGTTACAAATAGAGAACTCTGGTTTCAATTTTTTTAAAAAGGTTCATCGCTGCCTTTGATTCTAGATCTTGCCTCGACTTAGACGGTACCCGTTTATTTTTCATGATACGTTTCCAGGGTTTCCGTAATAACGGCATTGTTCTTTCAATCTTTGCAACTCAGAGATTATGCTGTGCCCCTGTTTAATGGGTTTTTAATCCTGCTTTTGGATATTTGTAATCGGGGAAAAGAATGAATGATTCTTGACTGTTTTTTATGGTTACAGTGACTAATACATGCCTTAAACCTAACGGAAGAGAACGAAAGAGAGATTATATATTGTGCTTCTACATTACAAAGCTCATATCTTTAAGACTGGTTTCGTAGAGACATATATGGTCAATTATGATAATTGCGTAGTTCAACTAAATGGTCTGAAATGTGTGTAATTCTCGTTCTTTTCTTCCTACTTACCACGAGACAAACTAAGCGTTGCGTGGTCACTGGTCAGTTGCTATTCTTTCCCAAGCACACTTTCATTGCTATTCACTGCTGATCAGTTTTTTGGCAATCTTTTTAATGTACCACTTTCAAATTTAATTAGGAACATACTTATCATAAATCTAAATTTCTGTCATACGTTTTATCATGATTTTGCTGTAAAGTAACATACCTAGTGAGAATTTTTTTTTTTTCTGAGACATCCGTCGTAATATTATTTAATTATAGATGAAATTTTCCATTAAAAATATATATATATATTTTAATAATGTATAGAGTCACTCTTAATTTGCAACATTTCCAGCATACACTGCGCACTTCCCATTATTCGTAATTTCAATGGATAAGCTAACTTGGTCTTCGAACAAGCTCAATCATCTATCTAATTTCATTAAATTATTTCATTCGAAAAGAGAATGTGTAATATATATCAAGTTTCGTTGTCGCACACATGATGACATATAGTCATATAATTAATGATATTCAATCCACAAATCTATAATGTATTGTTTCCATGGAATTTCAACTATTCAATTTATTGCTTGGGATCTCATTTTTAGTGTTAACCAACAAGAAATTTTCAAGTTTATTGCTACAAGATTTGACATTTCCACAGAAAGTGCATACGACACATAAGCTCAGTTCAATAGTCTTTCTCTATGACCGGCAATTGAGCTTTCATATAATTAGCAATTAGCGTTAAAATATTTTAGATTTTATAGTTAAAGAGAGTTGTTCATTTTTTCCTTTGCATTTTTGCTTAGATACGGAATCGAATTTTCTTCTGCAATTTCTTGTATTCCTTTTGTTTTAAAATATATTGGTTATGATTTATGAACATGACGTAAGCTTTATACATAGAAAGTCAACGATTGATCATCGACACTTATTCATATTTATATCAACATAGATTCGTTGATATAAATATGAATAAGTTTTATACATAGATATGTCCGTTGAAAGTCAAAGGATAGATCATCGATATACACTTTCTATTGTCAAAGGACACTTATTCATATTTATATCAACATAGATTCGTAGAATATTTCCAAAACGGTCAAAAGCTAACCCTTGACTGAGTTTTGCAATATGATGTTGATGTTTAGTATGTTTTGCTGTTTCCTCATCCTCATGACGCAAGAAGAAAAAGTCTTTTACAAAAAAAAAAAGAAGAAGAAAAAGTCTTCGTCCTCGTCGCCTTCTCCTGCGCGTGTTAAAAGGTTAAGCCGGGATAGAAAGATGTAGGGTTTAGTGTGATGACGTGACGTCAGGTCTTTAGTCGACCAAAGGCTGTTGTTGCGGCGGTTAAAGGTTTCCGTGGTGTAAATGGTTTCTTGTTTGTATGGTCGTATTTACTTTATACAATGTAAGGTTCTCTTATAATGTGTGATCATCTAGAAAGTGTATATCGATGATCTATTGATCCATCGTATAATGCGAGTCATATAGGTGACAAAAAAGGTGACAATTACTATTTTGTAAATGTGAATTTTTGTGGTTTACATTTGGTTATTAGTACACCTATATATATATATATATATATATATATTGCACTATAAAAAAAACTTTCACTATTATAAACACCTTTTATCAAGATTTTGTGACTACGTACATGGAATTTAAAACCGAAAAAAAATAACTATCTTTTAAAAGTTCTTATTTTTTGCCTAAAGTTTTTCAAAACTGTAAAAAATTCATGTACAGTACGTAAAAAAGGTAAGAATACAACGTTTTTCAAATTTTCTGATATTTTCTTGTTGAAAAGTTTTTTAATATTACTTCTAACAACGTCTATTATTGTATTGTTACTAGTTTATATATAATAAAAAATTTGCTAAATTTTCCGAAACACACAGAAAATTTTCAATACTTTTCTGACTCGTTGGTTTAAGCCGTCTCTGCTGCAATATATCGGATAATAATTCGAGTCATATTCACTGTTGATCAGGGTTTTTTTTTATAGTAATATTTCAATGTTCAAAGTATCACTATATCAAATTAGGAACATGTTTATGAGTCAAAATTTATGTCCTACACGTTATACCGTGATTTTGCAATAGAGTATTATACATTTTGCCAACGCCCGTTGTCAACATCTGGATACTGTCCAAAAACGCATTGATTATAGTGTATGGTTTAGAATGTTTCCAACATTTCCCCGCATGCATGACTCGATCATGTGTAAAGACTGAGTAAGTCAGGCGCCGTAATTATATTTTCAATCTTCTCTTAATTTCAGGGGAAAAGCTTGCTTGGTCATCTCATTTCATTAGAATATTACATTCAGAAGAGAATTTGTAGTGTATAAAAACCTCATTAAAATATAAAGTGTAGCTGTTGCACACATGATAAAACCAAAATGTCTTTTTCCATAAAATTTCATATATTCAATATATTACTTTGCAGTTTGCATCTCATTTTAGTTTTGACCATATAATATATATATTTTTTTCTGTCAAAGAAGACCATAAAATATATACATTTTTCCTTGAAAAGTTAATCAACAAGAAAAAACCCATTTATTAGCTAGTAGACTAAAATTTCCACTTCAACAATAGTTAACGTCAGAAAATAAATAATTTCTGCTGTAAGCTTCTATACAAAGTCAACGGAATTTTGGAGCTCTCTATATATGAAAGGGCTAGTTGATCATACTAAATTTTTATCACCAGATTTTTTTTAAACAAAGCCTTACAAATTTAATAGCCATTTGTTATTAGCAAGTACCATCGCGATGGGTCATCTCTTATCCTGTTACAAGCGTCGCAAGAAGAGTGAGGTGACGTCATCTCCGCCGAAGAATAAAAAAGTCAAAAAGGGTAAACTAAAGACGGTGCGCACGAAAGATCATGAAGATCTTGTTGTCCTGGCACGAAATATGGAGATCATGTCGAGAAAGAGAAATAAGACAAATAAGACCTCCAGAGGCAGTTGTTGGGGCGGAGGAGATGGACGTGGTGGTTACGTTTACGGCGGAGGTTGGGGAGGTGGGTGTGGAGGTGGCGGCTGTTAAAAATTAAAAATTAGGGTTCTGTATAATTATTGTAATGCTATGTATGATTTCTTGTGCGTGTGATTTCTTTTGTATGATTTCTTGTGCGTGTGATTTCTTTTGTACATGTAAGATTTCAGGTGTGATGTACTGATGTGTAATATACACCAAAAACTGTATGTGAACATTAAATTTATTGCAATTTTTACTCAAAACCTTTATCTATATGGTCCATTTTGTGATAGTTATATACGTACATTCAACTTTCATCTTCACGAAAGATCCTACACCTCACACGTGAAATCTTACATGACAAAATAAATATCACGCACATGAAATCATAGCATTACATTAATTACACAGAACCCTAAGTTTTAATTTTAAACGCCGCAACGGAAATTCTAGAATGAACTTTTTTGTCAATTCGAAATTTTACTATACTAAACTGAAAACTGATACAAAGTCTGGGGTTAACGAATACAATACTCCGGACCATATTCCAAAAGGAACCCTCAAAAACGAGATTACACAATCGATGTAATCTTGCACTATATATTAATATATAACATTCAGAAGAGAATTTGTAGTGTATAAAAATCTCATTAAAATATAAAGTGTAGTTGTTGCACACATGATAAAATAAAAATGTCTTTTTCCATAAAATTTCTTATATTCAGTATATTACTTTGCAGTTTGCATCTCATTTTAGATTTGACCATACAATATATACTTTTTTTTATGTCAAAGAAGACCAGACAATATATACATTTTTTAATCAACAAGAAAAATCCATTTATTTGCTAGTAGACTAAAATTTAATTCCACTTCAACAATTGTTTATGTCAGAATAAAAGTAAGCTCTGTTGTAAGTTTTTATACAAAGTCAAAGGAAACTTGGAGCTCTGTTGATCATATTTTTATGACCAGAGAGTTTTTGAACAAAGCCTTACATATATTATAGCCATTTGTTACTACCAAGTACCATCGCGATGGGTCATCTCTTATCCTGTTACATGCGTCGCAAGAAGGGTGAGCTGACGTCATCTCCGCCGAAGAATGGCGTCAAAAAGGGTAATTTAACGACGCTGGGCACGAAAGATGGAGATCTTGTTTTCATGGCGTCCTCGAGAAAGAGTAAGAAGACCTCCAGAGGCTGTTGTTGGGGCGGAGAAGGAGATGGAGGTGGTGGTTGCGGTTGCGGCGGCGGTTGCGGAGGTGGGTGTGGAGGCGGCGGCGGTTAAAAGGTAAAAATTATAGTTCTGTATAATGTAATGCTATGTATGATTTCTGGTGCGTGTGATTTCTTTTGTACATGTAAGATTTCAGGTGTGATGTGTAATATACACCAATAACTCTATGTGAATATATACTTTTTACAATTTTTTCACTCAAAACCTCTATCTATATGGTCCATTTTGTGATGGTTATGTAACGTACATTCAACTTCCATCTTCACCAAAGATCATACACCTCACACCTGAAATCTTACATGTACAAAAGAAATCTCATGCACAAGAAATCATACATAGCATTACATTAAATATACGAACCCTAATTTTTAATTTTTAACTGCCGCAACCGAAATTCCAGAATGAACTTTTTTGCCAATTAGAAATTTTACTATTAAACTGAAAGCTGATACAAAGTCTGCGGTTACCGAATACAATACTCCGGAACATATTCCAAAGGGAAACCCTTAAAAACGAGATTACACAATCGAAACACATAAACAAGCAACACGAAAAGACGAAAAGAAAAAAAACACATGCAAGTTAAATAAATTCTGCTATCTAGATTAATTCTGCTATCTAAATAAATTCTATATCAAAACAAACTTTTGAAAAGCTTTTTTGTTTGTTTCGTAATTTCGCTTGAAAATCTAACTTGGTCTTTGAACAAGGTCAATCATCTATCTAATTACATTAGACTATTTCATTCAAAAAGAGAATGTGTAGTATTATATATCAATTTTCGCTGTCGCACACATGACATATCGAATGAATATTCAAATCCATAACTCTATACAAATGATATGTTTCCATGGAATTTCAGTTAATCAGTCTGTAATTTTGGATCTCATTTCAGATTTGACCCCATAATATACACTTTCTTTATTGAAGATTTAATAAACAAAAACAATTCCATTTAGTAGTTAGAGTATTGAAATTTCGACTGCAATTACTTGTATACAAAAAGGTCAGAAAAATAAATAGGTTAATGTTGTAAGGACAACGTCAATGGATATTTTGAGGTGTCTATAGATAAAAGGGACAATTTATAATATTTGTATCAATATACACTTTCAGAAGAAAAAAAATTTGGCCATTATAATCTTTTGTAACTTGTACCATGGCGATGGTCTTCTCTTATGCCACACGTCATCACCACCGAGAGGTGACATCAAAAAGGGTGAACGAAAGATGGAAATCTTGTTGTCATGACGTCATCCGGAAAGAGTAATTCTAAAGGCTGCTGTTGCGGGAAAGGAAGTCGTGGTGGTCCTTTTGGTGGTTGTGGCGGTGGCGGCGGTTGCGGAGGTAGCGGTTGAATTCTGTATATATAGCAATTGATGTAATCATAATATTCCTTGTGCATGTGATTTATTTATTTGTGCATGCAAGATCTGAATGTGTGATCAAGTATCTATGATATCTCCTGATCAAGTATATATGAGAGTGGAAACTGAATGTATGTAATATATCTACAATAGTACTATCTTTCATATGATGGATCATATTGGTAAACAAACGATTACTGCATAAATGCTAGCACTACAAAAAAAATTAGGTTTTGCATCATTTAATTTAAATTGTATCAAAAAATTAAATAATTCTATTTTGAATTACTTCTTACATAAATACTTCATAAATAATTCTGTTTTAAATATCAATTAACAACCGATCACTACATAACTGATTTTAGTTTTTATTACTCTAACATCGGTTCAATATAAATATCAATTAATTTACATCACTTTAATAAATGTGATACTCCTTCCGTTTCACAAAGAGTGTCGTTCTGACATTCTTCACACAAATTAAGAAATAAGATAAATGTCTCTTATACCTTTAATAATTTGTAGAAAATGACTTTTGGAATTATATTTATAACAATTTTTTGAATTTATTTTTGAGATTAAAAATAGTATTTTATGTCAAAATTTACATTGGAATTCTAAAACGATATTCTTTTTGAAACAAAAAAAAGTGTCAGAACAACACTCTTTGTGAAACGGAGTGAGTAGAAAAATATGTATTTACATCAGTTAAATAATCAATGTGTTTATTATTTTTATTAACATTATTTAAAAATGATATAAAAATTTACATCACTAAAAAATTGATACTAATCTTTTTTATATCGTATCATTTAAAAAAAACTGATTCAAAATAAAATTTTATATCAATTAGATAAATAATGCAATTAATTTTTTCAAAATATATGTTTGTCCACATCGGAAAAGTGAACATGAGAGGAGAAAATTTCTCCACTATAAAACTAACTCATCATTCTAAATTAAATTAATATGTAGTTAAATCAGGATACATTACTTCGACACCCAATTGATTATAATCATTAAAATATAGCAATTTTATATATTAAAATTTAAAATAAAATGAAAAACAATATTTAAAATATAATATTATAATTAATTAAAATCACATCTGATAATTAAATTTTAGTATCAATTACAATTTAGTATCAATTACAATTATTAACATCGGTTGTTAAAAGTGAAACAAATAATAAAATTATTTATAATTACTGATCGGTTGTTAGAACTGAAACAAATAATAAAATCATTTATAATAACTAATGTAAAAATCGTTTTTTAAAACTGATACATATTAACATCGATTATAAGAATTATAAGAATCGATGCAATATTTGGCTAAAACTGATATAAAATATTTGCATCATCACTTTTAGAGTCATTTATCTTATTGATGTAAAAAAATTTACATCATATATACTTAATGCAAATATATAAAATAAGTGATATAAAACACATATTTTTTTAGTGTATGGAGAATTGGGAAAAAATCCATATATTTTTAATTCTAAACCTTCTCATAATTAATTTATATTAATGACTAAATTAATTAGCTTGAAATTCAATCTGTTAAATATCTAATATAAATAAATATTGTTTCTGAAAAAATGTAAATGCATATTAATTCTTTTGTTGACAACAAAATTTGTCTTTTTGTATACACATTTTACCAGAAGTAAGGATCCTACAATTAAATGAAATAAATTTTGTCTAATGTATTTCGAAAAGACTGAGTTGTAGTTTTCTACACATGGTAGAGCATCCAAATAAAGCGGTGGATACTTGTTGGACCTCCAATAATGATGCATTGTATTTGTATGTTTTCCGAATTTAGAGTGACTCTACTCTCATTTAGGACTCCACTGCTTCCCAAGCTTTTTCTGGAACTGGATTGAATCAACTACCCTATTAAATGCTCGCTAATCTCCCATTATCTCATGCATCTTTCTTCCTCTTTACATCTAACTCTGCTAATAATCACCAACAATAAATCTATTGAGCTTGAAATGCTTCGTTGTTGCATGATGAACAAGAAGAAGAAACTTCAACCGCCGGAGCCAAGGAAAACTCATGTTGAAAATGGTAAGTTTCTGTTTCGAATGTAAATTTTATTAGGAACTGAGGGCGTTTACAGTTTTTTTTCTGTTTGTTTAACTAGCATTGGGAGTATTCTTGCCCAAATATTTGTGGTTTCTTTTGGCTAATTAATTAATATATAAGGTGTTGTACATTTGACGATTGGTTCTCCGGAAGATCGCTTGCGAGGTAGAAGGGACACCATCCCATACACCGTGGGCGATGGCTTCCGACAAAAGGCGCCTAAGAAATTGGATGGAGATTTCACTATTATGATGAGTGCGGCTTCTACTTCAGCATTTGATGGAGTTGGTGACAATGGTTGTGGTGCTGGTGGCATTACTGGCGGTGGTAGCGGATGTGGTGGTGGTGACAATGGTGGTGGTGGTGGTGACAGTGGTTATGGTGGTGGTGGAATTAGTGGCGGTGGTAGCGGTTGTGGCGCCGCTGGTGGTGGTGGTGGTGGTGGAGGTTGTGGGGGAAGTTAAATAACCGAGGTTTTCTTAATTATATCTTAATTAATGATAGTTTTCTTAAATTGTAACTTTTTTTAGATAAAACTATATAAATTCATGAATCTATGTTAAGTTTATATATTATTATTTGCATATAATGTAATGTGGATCCATCATCCATGAACTTTCGGATGAGATAATACTATAGGATACATATCTCACAGACATCAATATAATTCTATATTGAAGTAACCGCCTCTAAAATAATAACCAACCAATTCTTACATAATCAAAGATTTCGGGAAATATATATAGTCTTACAAAATATCATAGTACTAAAACAAATATTTATCACACAAACCAATTCTTACAATATTTGCAGTTGATATCTTCACTAGTTCTCGTAATTATTAGAAAAAATTGATATATCAACTATTAGCTAAACAAAAAGTATAGAGGCAATTATATTTATAGGACAAAAAAACGGTAGTATTGTCCACTTAGTACTTTTTCAAACTTGACTATTTTTGGACAAAAATACTATTTATTTATAATTACGAAAATTTTTAAAAAATATTTTTATAATCTATAAATTTTTGAAAAATTCTGAAAAGGGAAGACAAAGACATTTCATAACATATTTTTGCCAAAAAAAATTTTAAAACAATTTTTTACAAATGCTCTATGAATTAGTACAAAACACATTCTATAAATCTATAAATTTATAGAATAGACTATCTACTATTTCATTAATTTTCTACTAAATATATAGAATTAGTTATCTACAGTTCTTCTATGTTCTACAAAGTTATGAAACCGTATTCTACAACTTTTTTATTGTTCTACAGTTTAGTATAATTATCTCTCTATAGTTATCTCTTTGTTCTATATCTTAGTAAAATTACATTTCTACGAAAACTCTTTGTTCTATAATTATAGAATACTTATTATACAATTCGGTTAATTGAATCTCTGAAAATCTAGGATCAGATCTAGAGAATATATTTCTTTCTTTTTCGAATTATTTAATTTCCTAATTATTTTTTAAATTTTTTTATTTCTTTCCTAATCAGATCTAGAGAACATATTTCTTTCCTTTTCGAATATATTTCTTTCTTTTTCAAATAAATTTTATATCATAAATTTTAATTAATATGGGTAAATTCAAATTAGAAGGGTAGAAGAGGTTAAATTATTAGTAGAAGTATTAAGGAGACAAAATTTACTACATAAATAGTAAGGGAACAATAGTTATGTTTATTTGTCCTATATTTTTAATTCTTTCAAAAGTGTATATGATGCACCAGTTAATGAGATATAATAGCATGGACTGTTTTATACACTTTCTTTTTTTGATAATGTTTTATACAGTTTCTGCAACTTGGTTAGGTGGTTGTCCGCCACAACTTTATTTTCCATACCTAAAAAGGCCAAGACTTAGCCAAGGACATTTATTTAACCGTTTATTTAATTCTGTATATTAATCAGCTTAATTAAGCTGTTTATATGTATCTTATTATAGTATGGTAAAAATACTTATATATATATATATATATATAGAGAGAGAGAGAGAGAGAGAGAGATATGATTTAAACAAAAACTTTTTACAAGAAAATTGGTTAATCACAAGTCTTAATTAGTTCGCTTGGCAAAACCATTTGGCATTTGTAATACATTTGAGTTTCTTTTATTCTTAAAAACAGACAAAAAATCTTCAACGAGGCTACAATGCACGCCATCTGGAGGGAGATGAATGCAAGGAGACATGGTGAAGACCATTCACTATCTCAAAGACTGGGGAAACTCATTGACGAAACAGTGAGGAATCGACTAAATTCTATCAGACTTCTTGGCGACCAAGACTATGAATATAGTCTCATGTTTTGGTTTGATACTATAGAAATTAGAAATTAGAGTTTTTTCTGATTTTACATTCTTAAACAATGCTGCACTTGATGTAAAAAAGCTTTGATTGAATAAATTTGACATTAAATAAAAAAAATGACAAAAAAATAATTATTTGTGAAACATAACGTATATCAATCTAAGTAGATAGTAGTTCGATACTGTATCTGCACTTAAAACTGATTCAATTTATTTGTTTATTATTCTTTAAAAAATGTTAAAAGGTTACTTTGTTTATTTGAAAACAAATTGATGATTCCTTTGCAATTTCTCGCATCTTTCAGAAAACATCCATGCCATGTGGCTTACGTCGGCAAGTTTATCTAAATAAACAAAAGTCAACGAAATTTTTTTGGGCAATCTTTATATAAATGATCAATATCATTTATACGTAATACCATAGTTCACATTTCCTTTGGCTGTAACGATGGTGATGTTTCGTATCTTATGCTGTTTCATCAGCTGCACCAAGATTAGACCGTCCTCGCCTCCGCCGCAAGTGGATGAAACAGGCAAGAAAATTTCACCGTCTCCTGCTCCACCGCAAGTGGCCAAAACGGAGAAGAAGAAAAAGCCATCGCCGCCTCCACGGCCGCGAGTAGTTAAAAAGGTTTCAGGCCGTCGTAAACGCTATGGTAATGACTCTGGTGGTTTCGCAGGTTGCGGTGGTGGATGTGGCGGCGGCTGTTAAAAGATGAGGACATGAGATTTCCCCCATTCAATATAATTTATGTGATTGTTTTCTTGTACGTAGTGTACATGATGGATTTATCTGTGCTTTGAGTTTAACGTGTGATCTTGAAAATTGAATGTACTGTGTTATGTATATATATGTATATCAACATAAAATGGATCATATATATAAGTGATGAAACGATTGTGTAAATGTGAAATTTTTGGTTTGCATAAAGTTTTGTTTAATACATTAGATTAAATGATCGACTCATCAAAGAAGATATTATTATATAGTTATTGGAATATAAGAGAATATTTGGTGCTTTTAATATAGATGTAAGAGAGAAGAAAATATTTTGTAAAAAGTAGAAGATTTCGATATAAAATCAGTTGATCTTTGTTTGTTGTTGCACGTATTGGATATGACTATTAAATTCATAAAATAAACGGAAATGTGCTGTTTCCTTGGAAATTCAACTATTCAACCCATATATTGTAGACGAAAATCTCACTCTATTTGACCGTATCTTTTTTCAATTAATCAAGAAGAAACTTTCTTTTATCTTTCAGAAAACAAATAGGTTATGTCGTAATCTTGTATTTTTTTTTTGGGGTCATATTTCGTAGTCTTGTATTATAAAACAAATATAAATACATATATTTTCAAAGTGTAGACGGCATTTTTTGGGACTATGCTATATATAAAAGGAAATATCATACTTGTATCAGTATTCAGAAAATCAAAGAATCAAAGAAAGCGTATATATTGTTGACCTTAATTACAATACGTATTGCTAAATACAATCGCGATGATTCGAACGTTATGCTGCTTCCTCAGCCGCAAGGAGAAAGAGCCACGAGATGCGAAAAATGGTAAAAAAAAGGGTAACAAAGATGGATCGCTTGTTGTTTTGAAGCCGAGTAAGAAGCGTTTCCGCCGCTGCAAAGAAGGAAGAGGAGGAGAAGGCTGTTGTTGTGGCGGCGGGGATGGTTGTGGCGGTTGCGGCGGTTGTGGAGGTGGTGGAGATTAACTTATTAAATATGAGGTTTAATTAATTTCGTTGTTATTAACGATTTCCTGTGTATGTGTCGTGAATTAATATGTGCTTGTAATGTTTTAACGTGTGATCTCTTCTGAGAATGAAAATTAAATGTATATAATGAATTAAATTTATGTATATAGTTAATAGTCCGATGTTTCTTGTATCACAAGCTATTTAATTGTAATTCTGTTTCTTGACTTCTTCGATTGGAAACGTAGATGAAACTTATTAAGATCTTCAATTGCATCGTTTTACATAGAAGGTTTCCAAATCGAATAATCTTTAAAGTAGCTATAATATGCCATCCTAGCCGCAGCCCTGGCCCAAAAGTTATAAAACCATAGGGAAATTTTGTTTTTTTGGGCCTTTTCTATCTGTTTAACATAAAAAATTTGTCTATAAAAATTTTTATACGGATTTTAAAGTAACATTTTTGAATATGGGTCTTTTTAAACAAAATTTTTACAAAAATATGCACTATTAAAAAACTTTCTTTTCAAAGATAGACCCATTTTGGTAAGAAGATTTTTTTTAAAAAAATTAGACCCATAAATTTCTACCTACCCCTGTTGAGCCGGACATGTCTAGCTGTGAAGTGTATAACGACTTAATTGATGCATAACGTTTAAAACGTCTATTTTGAATTTGATGATTTTGAAAACTGAAACTCTTATAAAACTATACTAGAGATTAATCCGCGCTGTAGCGCGGAGGACATTTTTTAACCTTCAATTAAGTTAAATAATTTTGCAAAAACAATTATTTTATAAAAACAGTTATTGTTATAAAATTTACAATAATATATTGCATATTTTTGTGAATTTTTTAAAAATAAGTTGATATGTATATAGAGTATTTTTATTTTTTGGTTTCAATTATAGAAAATAAGTTAATTTGTATATGAGATTATTTTATAATCGAATAAATCAAAATATTGTTTATTTAACCCATTGACATTAGACTAAAATATTATTTAGACTAATACATAAAATATTATAATATTATAACCATCATCTCTAATTTGCAATGCTTAATAACTGAGTTTTATAATATGTCCACAAAATATATATATAATTTTTTTATCTTCTTTAATTAGATATAAAAATAGTATAATATTATTTACACTTAGGTTTGATATATAGTAAATAAAAATACAACAATACATTATTTAATTAAAATATATATATATATAATATTTAGTAGATTGAATGTATCACCTATTTTAAAAACTAATATTTTGAATTGCAAAATTTGTTTTGGTAAATATTAAAAAATCAGAATTATAATCCATTTATATCGAACTAACCCGTTTACTTAACATGTTTGTACTGGATTAATATATAAAAATAATTATAATATACACCATTTAATAACCCTCACTTCACTATGAACTTTTTTATTTAAAAATCAAATTTTTCATGTTAAATTTTTGGTAAAATAACTTTAAAAAATTATTTTTTTTGTCTACAATCAACTAAATATAGTGAATTATAGTAAAAAATATTTTACGATTTTTTTGATATCAGAAGTTTTAATCTTGAATTTTATAGTATTTAATTGTGAAAATTTTTTATTTTCAAGTTTTTTAATTAAATATACCTTAGGATATCATTTGAAACGAAAAATATAAAAACTACTACATTTTTGAATTCATAAATTAAATAATAAATATACTCTATTAAATGAGAAACAAGGACTTTCCATATTTTTTCAATAGATTTGAAAGACAATTATATCATTTCCTATTTTAATTATTCTTTGTTATTTGTAATGGCGTATCATGTAATATTTTACAAAATTAAAGTTTTTTTTAAAATGTCTACTGAAATAATAATATAGAGATTTGAAAGATAATTATATTCTTTCATATTTTAATTATTCTTTGTTATTTGTAATGGCATATCATGTAATATTTTACAAAATAAAAGGTTATTTTAAAAAATATTTACTTAAATAATAATATAGATATATATATATCTTATGTATAATTAATTTAAATGTGATTCACAGAATCATATGTTAAAATTTTGAAATTAGATCTGAAGTTCAACTTATATACATTATTTTTGTTTAGAAATTCAAATTACATTTAAAAACTAATATATTACCAAATCTAAAACATGAAGAAAATATGTTAAACAAAAAGATCCATATCAAAATCACGAATGTTAGATTTAGGAGAAACAAAGTTTAAAAATAATATATCAAAAACACTATTAATCAACTATAAATCCGTATTAACAGAATTATACCTCAACATAAAAGGAATGATAAAACTAAACTAACGATCATTTTAGGCTTTCAAGAATCACATGCATAAGACTGATTAAACCGCCTAATACTGTCAGTTTAAAATTGCATGGGACGCCTAAAATCGCCTAAAAGTATTGTAATCTGATTAATAACAAAATGCTTAAATTCTAACGTCTAGCTAGAAAATAATCGTTATGGTTTATGAACGACTAAAATCTAGGCACTGTACGTCTAGACTGTTTTTTGGAACACTGCATATAACCTATAAATACTCAATATTTAAGTAGATAACTTATATTTATGTAGCATTTTTCCTTAATAAATAGTATTTCACGTCATTATTCTGAGAAAGTTTGAGGCATCAGGCATGAGATAAATTAATTTGATCGCTGAGTATATATTACTCGTAGTTTTAGAACTTAATCATCCCTTGAACTTTCTTGTAGCCTTCAGAAATTACTAGGTTTATGGCATAAGCTTTCTAAACCTACTCTGATTCTTAAAACCTACAAGAAAACAATGAAATATCTAACGAATGTAACACTGACAACGTAGCGATAATATTCTGATGATATAATAATATATCAGAAATTCGTAGAAAATTTGTGTTTTTCGGTATATCATCGAAAACATTATCGGAAATTTACTATCAAATTGAGTTTCTTGGTAATTCGTTGGGAATGGTGCTAGAAATGGGGTCGTTTAAGAATAAAGTGATGTTTTTTTTTTTTGGGTAAAATTGATCAAATTAATTTATCTCATGCCTGATGCCTCAAACTTTCTCAGAATAATGACGTGAAATACTATTTATTAAAGAAAAATGCTACATAAATATAAGTTATCTACTTAAATATTGAGTATTTATAGGTTATATGCAGTGTTCCAAAAAACAGTCTAGACGTACAGTGCCTAGATTTTAGTCGTTCATAAACCATAACGATTATTTTTTAGACGTTAGAATTTAAGCATTTTGTTATCAAATAGATTACAATACTTTTAGGCGATTTTAGACGTCCCATGCAATTTTAAACTGACAGTATTAGGCCATTTAAGAATAAAGTGATGCTTTTTTTTTCTAACTATTATTTAATGTGATGTTTCAATGGAACTAAACCAATACTGTAATTGTGGATCTTATTCTCTATTTTTTGTCATATTATCTTATTGTCTATTTGATCGTTCATATTAATCAAGAAGCCAAGTTCCACTTTTCTGCTAGCAGAATCGAATTGTGCAATTTATTCTATCTCTTATAAACAAATAGTTACGTTGTCAGCTAAAATATATATCTCAAAGTCCACGGCCATTTCGAGCTATATAAAAGGGCTTTTACGTCACATATTTGCATGATTGCATCACTATTCAGAACATTTAAAAACAAAAGCTTATACATTTATCGTTGACATTGATCAGAATCTCTGTGATTGCTTTTGCTATACGATCACGAATCACGATGTGTCGAATGTTATGCTGTTGCTTCTGCCGCAAGAAAAAAAAAGATGGAGGCTTTGTTGTTGTATAGCCGATTAAACCTAAGAAGCGTCGCAATGGAAGTGTAGAAGTAGGAGGAGATGTATGTTACTGTTGTGGTGGAGGAAATGCCGGAGGTGGAGACAGTGGTGGTGAAAAAAATAATAAGGACCCCATATTTTTAGGGCATTTTCAACTCAATTGGCTCAAACGCAGCTCTGGTGTTGAATAAGTCTCGGAGTCGCATAAATCACCCCTATTGCTAGACTTTTTGGTCCTTCAACACAATGCATCATCAATGTCCACATATGTTTTGTTTTGTTTTTTTTTTTTTATAAATATAGTTCTATAATTTAGAGATTAAAATAATATTTCAAATTAAATACGGTCTACATGTATCTTATATGTATGGATTGTCAGACACACGCTTTCGTATAATCAATTATGGAAACTTTTTATGGTGATCTCATCGTACTGTATATCTGATTGTTTGTACAGTATATATATATATATATGTATTATCATAAAACAGTATAAAATTATTATTTTTTAATTCTAAATCTAGCACAGCAAATTTAAAGTTACAAAATAACACAAGTTATTGTGTAAGAATATTCGTTTACCCTCAATTAACTATAAATAAATATTTGATCCAAACATAACGTTTGAGTTTTACTGTCAAAGATAAAACACATTATACTTCTACACAAACATAAAGAAACGATATTAAAAAAAAAAGATACAAAGTACAGAAAAAAATTAAGTTGTCGTTGGACCAAGAAAATTAAAA